ACCTAGGGGAAAACAGAAAGAAAACCAGAAGGAAGCAGCAGTAGCAGTCTTTCCCTAAAGAGGGAAAGATAAATGTCTGTAAGTAGTTTTAAAGGCAATGACATTTTAAAGTAAAAAATTAATTAATGGGATTTCTTAAACAAAAAAATTGGGGTTTTAGTAATAATAATATTAACAACAACAGCAGCAGCAACAATAACCAGAGATATTCTTGAGTCATAATATAGCTAACCTAATCTCTCAACAAGCAGGATTTTAACAAGATGCCTACAATGAAGTTTAGGAAACACCTTCTTGATCCATTTGCATATGTACTACCATATAATCATAAATGTTCTATTGAATAACGACCCTGTGCGCATCCAAAGGTTCCAAATTTTCAGAGCAAAGTCTAATTTTGATCCTCGTACTTAAAGTCCTAAATACTTTTTTTTTTTTTTTTTAACAAAAGTAGAACTTACAAAAGATACTCTGGTTAATAAGTGATTAGCCAAAATTTCCAACTCAGGAAAATTTTGCTCTGATTAATGAACATTTTACAATGTCTATCTTAGTTTTTTTCAAATGATAAAAATATGCTTGTTGGATATGTGTTTTCATTTCCTAATCACACAATGACTTTCTCGAATTGGCAGTCTCAACAAAACAGCACAGGCCAGGTGAGGTAGCTCATGCCTGTAATCCTAGCACTCTGGGAGGCCAAGGTGTGTGGATCACTCAAAGTCAGGAGTTCAAGAATAGCCTGAGCAAGAGTGAAACCCATCTGTACTAAAATAGAAATATTAGCTGGCTGTCGTAGTGTGGGCCTATAGTCCCAGCTACTTGGGAAACTGAGGCAGGAGGATCGCTTGAGCCTAGGAGTTTGAGGCTGCAGTGAGCTAAGCTGACGCCAAGGCACTCTACTCAGAGCAACAGAGTGAAACTCTGCCTCAAAAAAAAAAAAAAAAAAAATGAGCATGAGCTTCTGGGCCAGAAACCAGGGCCTACAGTATCTACAGTATCTAGATGGAGCAGGCCTTTGGGAGGTCACACACAGCTTCTGGCTTCAGTCATGCAGTCAATGATCCTCAAAGATTCCCAAAGGTGCTAGATACTCAAAGCCAGAATACATAAACTCTAGATTAAAGCAGAATCTTTCAGCAAAGGTCTCCGAGCAGGATCCTCCCTGGGAAACAAGACCTTGCAAAATGACATCCCAAAATGTTGTAGAGAGAGAAACTGGACAAAAGACACTGACGGCTCACCTTTTGTGAAATTCCAGAGAACAGTCCTCTGAATTTTAAGGTAATTTCCTTTTTGAGGAGAGAATCTATGTAGCTAAAATCCCTGCATATCCAGTGATTACCAAAAACTTCACATTCTCAAATATTCACATTGTCAATCTGAGTTTGGACAATGTATATGTAATCATACTTACATATATTTTTCTAGACAAATTTGCTCTTCAGTTTCAGAAAATGTGTTTAAGCCATATAAACAAACAAAAAAGCAAAGATAAAAACAAGTATTTCCCCTTTGTTAAGTATTATTAATCAGAATAAATGCAGTTCTATCTTATCATCATGTTTTCTATGAGGAAACTTCTGTTCTTTTTTTAGATTTGGAGAATTGTTTTTCCTGACAGAACCCCCAAAACTAAGAACCCTGAACTGCAAACTTGTCCTTTGTCCTAGTTGTTTACCAGCCTTATCAGGGCACACATGGGTTGGCAATGTGATTCTAAGATAAAAATCCCAAAGATATAATTAGATGTTTTCCCAGAAATATCACCCAATGTCATGAAAATGTGTTTGATGTTTTTCACATTACACTTGAAGGGAATGGTCCCACGCTTTCTTGCCATTTAATCATTTTCTTTTAGATAACTGAGAAAAAATTACCTTGGCATTGAAGAAAAATACATACTTTTGGATAAGCTGAAAATACAGACCTTATCTCAAAACTTCTGTGACATTCCAATAAACACAATTTTCTAATCAATAACACACTTCTTAATGTCCATAAATATAATGATTAAAATAAATTGTATGCTCCTAAATATAAATATAAATAATAAATGGCAGAGACATACATCAAAAGCCAGTGATGTACAAGCTTTCTTATGGTACCTTACTAATACATTTAATTAAATTCTGAATGAAGGGCATAAAAAGACAAAGATAGGAAACCACAAACATGTATTTGTTATGTTGCAGACAAACACTCTCTAGGTCAGCCAAAGAAGTACTATGAAAGCAACTCTCAAGGATTTTACTGAACTCCATCGCTACTAAAGAAAGACTTATGAATTTTGCTAGAAAACAAAATAAAATTAATAAAATTTTAAAAAATCTTCTACTGCCACCTGCTGGTATGTCATAATCAATGACTCTCAGGGGTGCTAGAATGACAAACTCCAGATTAAAGCACAATCTTTTGACTTTTAAAGCAGAAATAATCTTTAGATTCTGATCTTTCTCCAGTTACATATATATATATATATACACATATACACACACACATGATAATACATTATGTATATAATATTCCATATATTTCTGGAAGTAGCAAGTAGAGTGAGACAAGCATATTTTCCTCACTGCCTGATTCATGGACCTATTATACCACATCACTCCAAAAGGAAGTAAAGAGCTATCACATTTCCATGTTTTCCTTCCCCTTAAAAGCCATTCTACTTATTCCTAGTTCAGCAATAAAGAATTGAAACCGATTGGTCTTGGCAGACCTGTCTGCAAAGTATTTACAGCTCACACATTCTAGGTCAGCTATAGAAGTTTCACTCTCTTGGCCAAAGGACCATAGGCCAAGCCTGTATTTTTGAAGACTTCTCTCTAGCAAATTTAAACTCTAAGGGTGTCAATATAACATTGAGGTAGGATCCCAAATGAGAGGTCCAAGGCTGGAACTGTAATAACACCCATTGGCAAGATTCTGTACCTGGAGCTATAAACATGACTTTAAAATTTAGAAAGGGTGGGGGCCCAAGTTCTTGTAGTCAGTTTCATTACTTGTTTTGGAGAGTCTTAGAATTTCAAAAAGCTTTAGCTAAACGGTTTTAAGGGATATAATTCTCTTGAACTTAGGAGGTATTTTAAAAATCAAAGTAAAGAGATAAACAATTTTGAGAAAACAACACTTTTTATCAATAATATACCAATTCTTACTGCCAAAAACAAGCTATGAAAGAATAATTTTTTTAGCTATTTCATAGCTAAAAAAATATTTCATGTCTCGAGTCATACACTACATTATTTTTCAAGCCACATTGCTTCATCTTTTCTATAAATACTGAAAAACACAAATTTGACTAAGCTTTTTCCCCAAAATCAATGTTAAATACAATTGGAATCAAAAGGCAATGCCCCAATATATAAATCCTGGGTCTTTACATCCCTAGACATGAGCAAATTTGTCTGCTAGGACACTGAAGAGTCGTCTATAATTCTACAGTGCTATAATTAAGTCTTGTACAAATTCTGCTGCCAAAAAAATCACCAGAGTGGGTGGTGAATAGAGCCAAGTAAACTCTAATTATGGAAGGCGGGTTTTCTAAGATCTTACATACAAGAAGCAAAGGCAAGATCAGACAGCTAAGGCAGGTTACGAAGGCAATATAAATAGCCTTGTCAAATTCAAGGTAACCCCCCTTTTAGTAACCACTGCTGCCTCCTATTGTTCATAAATACTTTTAAAACACAATCTGGGACCCTCTGCTTAAAATATAGCCCTTAATTGTTCCTTGAAAAATAGAGTTATGAAATTTATAGGTCATTTTCACTCTTGGAACAAAAGATTTCAATTTCCCAGATAATTTTCCATTTTATTTCATCTCCTCCTCTAATGCTATTTTTTAAAGTTCTGTTCAGCATTCAACAGAATTCACTTAAGCATTCTAAAAAACAGTGTGCAAGTCATAAGAATACAGCACAATAAATTTACACAAATTGAATTTGCAAATACAACCAGCAACAATCAAGAAACAGAGCATTGTCTACATCCTAGAAGTGTTTCCCCCCCATTTAGAAAAGCAGGATTTTTTATTTTATAAAATAATATTTAAAAGTTCTTTCTCAATAAGAACATTATATAGTATATTCTTACTGTCTGGATCTAAATCTATAATTTCAACCTTAATGTAGAATTGATTATGCTTTTTAACCTTTTGCCTTAAAAAAGGTCTATGCCCTTCTTACTCCTTATTAAAAATCTGCACAAACTTTTACTCATATGACTCTTAGCTCAAATACCACCTCCTCTATGAAGACTTCCTTGATCTTCACAGAAAAATGAATTAAGTCCTCATTTATATTCACAAAGTAGTTTGCAAATAGTCTATGTTCACACATCACACTGAATTATAATTACTTCTATGTACATCTACTTATCTAGACTGTGAGCACCTCATGGATAGAAAAGGCATTTAATTTCATCTTTAAACTTCTGTGCCTTATACTGTGCTTTAAAATGGATGCTTTAAACTGCATGCTAATGAATAATTCAATGGTCTTCACACTATTTCTTCTACCATAGACAATTGAACAATTTTTCAAAAGAATGTTCTAGCAGATTGTATTCATTAAATTAAACGAAACTTATTATCTAGATGTTTTAAAGTACTTATCATCTTAGTACCCACCACATAAAAGAATTTATGATATACCATATTTTATTCAAACAGATTAAATAAAATACATTAGTTTTAATATACATGTAAATAAGTAACATGTTTAACCTGTATTAGTTGACAATAGGATGCTTTGTGATAAGAAGCTATTTTCTTAAATGATAATATTAAGGTACTTTTCTGTAGAAAGAAGTTCACAAAGTATGCATTTTAGGCCTGATAGTTTCATTTCCTTATACCACTCATCATCCCCCACTACAAAACTAAACAAGCTTATTTCAACTAAGGTGAGATTAAACTTCACTCACATGCTTAGTTCACGGAAGAAGAAACATGAACATCTCATTATAAATCAGAAATACCAGACCTCTCCTACCTGTGTACCTAAGCTGGCTGCCATCATGTGAGTCAGAAGTTTAGCTGCAAACATGGAGTACCTGGCACAGAAGATGTGGGAAAGTACAGCCAAGCAAAGACCTGTAGAAATAAAAAGGTCCATATATGGCTTTATAATCCATGAAGAGACAAACAGTATTGTAGTGAAAATCTTTGGGACAGCTAAGCACACAAAGCCTGTTGTTTGTCTATGCACAATACTTCTGGAAATGATTACTTTGCAATTTTAATCTACTACATTTTGTACAACATATAAAATCTTCACTCACACTTATCAAATTAAGCTCAAAGGATAATTTCCATTTTGAAATACATATATGTTCACTTCTCTGCTAAAAAGATCACAAATTGAGCAGATTAATAATTTTATTATTTAATAACTAACAATTTCTATGTTTACATTAATCAAGTTTTACTATTTAGGAAAAGAATCAAATTCCAATTTCATTTTCTAAAAACAGGTGGCTTGGCGAAATAGAGATACTAGAGAAGTGAAAAGGATTTTTGAGGCATAAAATTGTGAATGGTACTACCAAAATTCAGGTTTGGTAATTACCCCTTTTTATCTACTAGGAATAGTTATGCAATTACGACAGTGGTAATTATGAATTTTAGAGGAAACCTTATGCTACTGGGTGCCAAAACCAGGAACAAAATGTGTTCTTTCCCCCACAATGACTTTTTAACCTAAATATCTAAATCCCTAAATGGTGTGAACAAAATTATTCTTATTATCTATAAGTCTACTTGAATTCACCTATTTACACTACAAGGAGATATTAGAACCTCAGCACTAATCCAACAAATCTTTATCTTGCAAATTTTCTTTTGATGCTAGATTCTAAAGGCAGAATATATACATATTTTAAAAGTATTTTCTGCCTTTTAAAATTTAAATGTGCTGCATATGCTTTTTCAGTTAAGCTTTTTACTCCACTCTTCTGTAGGGCTATTTTGTCTAACAACTGGCATGTGTATACTGCTTTGCCATGTATTTGTACACATTACTTCATTTAATTATATCAATGCTTCCTTGACAAACAGGAGACACTGTACCCAATTAACATTTTGTTTTCTTCGGAAGCTATGGAACAAACTTAGAATGTACCACATGCTGGCATAAATGAACTGGGCATTGGCAAAATGCCCAATGGGGTCTTATGACTCATTTTCTGTTCAGAAATTACTCTCCTAATTTGGGGGGGGGGATTTTTAATTATATTTTTACATTTTAATAAGGTAAACAAGGCTCCCCACAATAAGGGAGGTTTTGCATTAGTCAAGGCTTTCAGCTTAGAAATTTGGCCAAGAAATCTGGAGCAATCTGTTTTTAGGAAGGCTGCCATGGGGTGTTCTAGAACAGGTGTGCAGGTCCTGGGGCTGCCTCCAAATTCCACCCACATAGGTACACAGTGTATCTTTAGAAACTGCAGAGTTGTGCCTAATATTACACCTTTACTTAGGTAGTCTTTACCAGTGGAGCTGATGCTCAGAACTCCAACTAATGTATACTTTGAATTCCCCAGGATGATCAAAGCCAGCTTAAATTCAAGGTTTAAGTTGAGTGTGTGAATATGTGTGCATGTGTATGTGTGTGTGTATAATATTCTGACTTTAAAGCAGGCCCTTGCAAGTTTTTTTTTTCATTATAAGCCACATGATCACAAATGTGTGCTTTACTGTTAATTTATTGTGGTAGATGATAACACTGTGAGGTGAGGAGATTAGTGCTGAGCAAGGGAGAAATATACAAGTAAACTGTTTTTTACAGTTCACAAGAAGAGCTTATTCATACCCTTTTCCCTTAACTTGGTAATGCCCTATTATACTCCTGTTTCATGATATAAATGTAGTATAAATTTGACTAGCTTAGAAAATATTTAATTAAATATATTAAGCTTCAATTAAAATGCTAGTGTGACACCTGGTGGCAGCCCAGGATTCAAAGCTTGTGGCAGGAAAAAGGCTAGATTCTATTAACTTATAACTATAATGTGTCATGGTTATCTAGATGTATTTTTTTTTTTATTTAGGGGAGAAGAATGTTGCTAACAACCTCAAGAAGGCTAAGTCCTAGCCCAGGGAAACTCATGTGCTTTGATCAGGATGTTGAATACCTAAATTTAAAGAAATAAATACTTCAGTTACCAGGTTTCTAAAACACTACATACTATTTTATCTTTTATTTCCTTATCTGAAATTAAATAGCTGTATTTAGCATATATGCTTTAAATCTACATGTCATTTTTTAAAATTAAAATTATAGAATTTTGGGGGAGTAAATTTCTTAATATAAAATATGCACAAAGCATAAAATGTTATAACTATAAATAAAATGATTTTAAAAAATAAAGCATAACAATTCCAGGTATTATTTCAAGGTGTACTCTAAATAGTGTTTTGAAACTTGACTTCTTGGCAGTTATATAGACAAAACAAGCAGCTAATTAAATAATTTTCCTTTCCTTTTTTTTTTTCTTGCACTATGTGGATTACAGATTAAAGTTGAAAAAGTTCATTTAATTACTTCATTGATACAAATCGCTTTTCCACATGATTCAAAAGTGAGGAGGAAGATAAGAAACCCTCGATAAAATGATAACATTGATAATGTTTGATTTAGACATGAAAAACTCTAAAGAACAGCTTAATTCTTTGTTATTTTCACACTCGACTAATAAGCCTAACTATAATATTTGAATGTTTGTATGCATACAAACATATGTAATGTTTGTATATGAATATGCATATCCAGTAAACATATACATTATTTGGCATCACTTAAGAATTAGGTATACTTTCCAAATAACTGAAGTTTATAGGACAAGTCCCCTTCATAGGACAAGTATTAGTACATTTTCCCATGAAATTTTCTTTAAAATATTTATAAAATATATATTTATCATTTATCTATTTACATTCTCTACAGATAAATCCAAATAAAAGCAAATTATCATTATGTCGTTATTAAATCAGCTATTAGCTTTTTAGTTTAGTTTGTTTGTCTTTCTATTTTCCCACCTAATGTTAGCTGTACTTGTTGCTTTTTCTACTTTTTGTTGCTTGTCTCTCTTGATTCCCTTGTTCCTGCAACTCTCTACTCAGCACAATGCCTTTTGGTTACTGCTCCTAATAAGCTAAGAGAAGAAAAAGAAACTGGCCAACCCTGAAAAGCTTTCTAGTATGAACAAAAGTCAGTGTGAAGCATCTTCGAGTACACAAGTTCTGTGTATTAGGGGAAAAGATTTATTCTAGAAGGATGAGGTTGCCAGGAGACCAGCCTCCAGATAAACAGGGTGTTAAAGCTATTCAGTACAATAGCCACTGGTCACATGTGGCTATTTAAATTTCAATTTTCATTAATTAAAAGGATATAGAATTAAAAATTCAGCTTCTCAGTTGTATCAGCCACATTTCAAGGGCTCAAGAACCACCTGTGGCTAGTGGCTACCAAGCTGGACCGTGCAAAACATTTCCAGTATTACAGAAAGCTCTATTGGAAAGAGCTGTGTTAAACTATTCTGAGAGAAATCAAGACAGAGTATGTCATATATCAGAAGAATTATTATTAAAAATGGCCAAAATGATATGGTTTGGCACTTGAAGGTATGAATTTGGCTCACAGTCAAAAAATACATCTCACTATTGAAGGATACCAGATCAACATTGTACATTCATTTATTTATCCGTTTAACAAATAGCTGTTAAAACTATGATATGTCTGTTTTGGGCAATGTTCAAAAAGATAAATATTCACTGCTCTCTTGTCTTTGTTTTTAACTGGCTGCTCCCTCACAGAGACACTCGTTTGTTAAGGTCACAGAACACAGTTCTGGTCAAAAAGATGTGACGAGAAACATTCTGGGTGGCTTTCAGAAAAGTTCTCACTGTGCTTAAAACCGGACCCAAATAAGTGCTTTTCCTTGGCAAGCCTGGACATCATTAGTGCTATGCTTACAGCTGCTACAGCCAACTCAAGACCATGTACGGACAAGACTGAGGGAAAAACAATCTTTGAGGATAAAATGAGAAGAGGCTGAGCTTCTGCTGACACCATTAAGGTGCTGAATTAATCAGCCCTGAAACTAAATCTGTTTGTTTAAGATATCTTTGAGTTGTTTTCTGGTACTTGCAGCCAATTTCTATCTAAATAATACACTTCTTGGTGCATATCTAGAAAAATCCAATATCTTTATGCCAAGTCAGAATTAAAACTAAGCCCTCCAACTTCATTATCATCTGCAGTTATCCTTTTACATGTTCTTTTTAAAGTTCTAAATATGTTTTTTTCCCTATTCTTCTTATGAAGAACTCCCCATGTGATAGTCAGAATGAAGCTGCTTTGATATACTCATTTCAACAATCATAATGGCTATCCTAGGACAATTACAGTGAATATGAACTTGATGTTTTTGGAAGAACTTGACACAAAATTTTAGAAAATATCTTAGGGAGTTGGGGGGTAGACTCACAACTGAGAGACCCAGTGAGCATTGTAGAGGGTAAGGGCATGCCTCTAACCCTTGCTAGGGAGAGGCAAAGATATAAAATGTAATTTAAAAAATAATGTAAACATTAAGCAAATGAGGGTTAAAGTTCTTTCTTGTCACATTTATGCTTACTTAGTAGTATTTTGTTATGACAGAAATGTGTTTTGAGAAATTTTGGTCACAAGAAGTTCCCTTGAGATATTCTTATTTGAAAATATTATATATCCTTAATCTTAAGGCTATGTACACACAATGTTTGTTATAGAGAATATATTTGCTTGATTATTTTTATGATGAATATACCACCATTGTGATAATTAAATTTAAAAAATCTTACTTTTAAAAGTAATTTTGAAATGAATGGGTAGCATCTGGCAAAGTTGTTGTTTTTCTGAAAAGCTATCAGAATCTCAGCTTATAAAACGCAAAATGTACAACCTGAACATTCTTTCAGTTTAATCAATGCTGAACAAAAACTGATAATGCTTCAAAGGACTCTAGATTGTATTAATTTACTTAATCTGTAAGCCTTATGATTTAGCAATTTATAAACAATTATTTACTGTCACTTATGTTTAAATTGACAATGTGTTGGCATTTATACACTGAGCAATCTATAAAAAGTAAATAAAACCATTAGTCATTCAAAATGGAAAGCTTTAGTTTGATTAATGCATTAAAGGATTTCTCTACCATAAGAGAACAAAAAAAAAGTGAAACAAATGTGGATTCTGGGGCCCAGCTCTAACCTCAGCTTAAACCCACTCCAGACAGAGGAGACTCACCTACAAGAGCATCAAACAATCTAATTCATTTATTGATGCTAAAACTGAAACGGAATATGGATAGTTATTGGGTCTCATTAAGATTACAAGACTCTAGGACTTGTATTCAGAGTCAAACTAAGGAAAAATGCAATCCAATAGTCTATCTTTGATGTACAATATCAAAAGAGTTATAAGCAGAATAAGCTTCTTTGACATCCTCCAAATAGTAATGTGTACCTCAAACCATGCTGAAAGTCCTTAATAATTATACTACGAAATTATGGCATTATTACCTAAAGTGATTTTTAAAGTATATTTTTTATTTTTTATAATTTTTAATTATTTTTTAACTTTTTTTTATTTCAGCATATTATGGGGGTATAAATTTTAAGGTTTCAAATAATGCCCTTGCCCCCCCCCACAAGTCTGAGCTTCAAGTGCGACCATCCCCCAGATGGTGCACATCTCACTCATTATGTATGTATAAACCCACCTCTCCTTCCCCCTCCCACGTGCCTAATACTTGATCATTATAATTTCTATGTGTCCACTTAGGTGTTGCTCAGTTAATACCAATTTACTGGTGAGTATATGTGGTGCTTGTTTTTCCATTCTTGGGATACTTCACTAAGTATTATGGGTTCCAGCTCTATCCAGAAAATACAAGATGTGCTACATCACCACTGTTTCTTAGAGCAGAATAGTACTCCATGGTATACATATTTTAAGTTATATTTCTCCCAAGTCATCTTTACAGTGAGTTCTATAATGCCATATTCTAGTGCATACAGCAACGTTTTACTTGTCCTCTCTTTCTACCTTTTTAAGCTCAAGGAATGGCCATAGTTTAATTTTATAGCCTTGGGTAAACTGGTTTACAATTTTAAGCTTTTATCTTTTTAAGCTAAGAAAAAGATAGCTGGCCTCTATATCTACTTGGCCTCTGTATCTATTTCACACACTGATAATTTTGGTTGTTCTGCTCTAGTATAGTAAACAGAACTGCAAACTAGAAAATTGATACAGATACATTGTGATCCATAATAATAAAAAATTAAATTCCTGTCTAACTGTATATTACCACATTTCATGAAAAAAGCTACTCAACCACTCTCAAATTCAGAGGAATATTCTGTGTGACCTTATCTAAATTATAGCATATGTATGGAAGATACATAAAATTCTCCTTTCGGGTTCCTAGGGTTCCATGAGAGGCACAAGCATTCATCCAGCTCTGAGGAACAGGCTGAAACTGAGGCACAAAGATAGGACTTTATGTCTCCTTATCAACAGAACATGCAATTGCATAACAATATGAAATGGGCAGAGGGGGGAAAAACCCTCAGTAATTTCAAATATGACTCCAAGTCAAAAGTAATGCAAGTAGATACTGATATTTAGGTGTCAATTCTCAAATACATGAGCAAATCTATGTAGCCTTTTATAGAGCAAGTTACAGAAAAGATATACAGGTATTTATTAATGATTCTCCCAGGGAACACTTTATAGGTCTGTTAGTTTTTTATAAAATCAGGACAACATTCTCTCTTTAGTTCTTAAAACTCTTTGCTTTGATGTTCAGTATTTGGAACAAGTAAGGGATTTTCTGTGGGTCTTAGTAGAACTCGAATTTAAGTCTCTACGGAAACATGCAGAATGACATCTAGATTTTATTTCAATGTACCTTTTGGCTTTATTTCATCATTCTATGAAATTTATTTCCTCTTTAAATATATTAGCATTAAAGTAAAATAGGATGTCTGCATCTGATTTTGGAACTATATGAACCTAGAATATTCTATTAAGTAAGAAATGTCATCCTTTATGAAAGATATTACTAACAATAAGTAATTATTAACTGTTGCTATTGAATCTAAGTTAGGTTCAGAATTAAGATATATTAAGAAAAATTTATAACTATATAAAATAAAGTTATATTGGAAAGATTTTAGCAACCAGAACAAAGAACAGTAATTAATTACTTGCTTCTATCTCCGGAAAAACTTCCTAACATTTTTACTGTTTGCATACCAAGTAAAAAAGACATGCATTCAATGATAATCACATTTACAGAGAAAACATCCTGTTAAAGAAGAATATTAGAAACATCTGAGTTAGTATATCTACTACCCTGTTAGGTAGATACAACTTATAATCACGTATTATGAATGGGGGAAATGAGGTATAGAGAAACTAAGTAATTTGATCCAGGTCCCACAACAAGCTAGTGGCAGAATCAGGAGTCTTGCTCAGTAGTCTCACTCCAGACCTTGAGTTTTTTAACCATTACTCTATACCAAGTTTTCTGTATAGCACCTTGTTCATAGAAATAGTTATGGGGCTGTAAAGGGTGAATCGGGGCACAGAATGGGTGGAGATTGGGGCTAGAAATATAGTTTAAAGAATTCTCAGATACCCAACCGTATAATTAATACAGCAAATGAGAAAAACTCTATAGTTAAGTTGTAGGTAAATAGTTTGACAGACGTTAATACAATTTAAGTTCCCATTATTGTAAAAAATGGGAGCTACATGAGGAATGTGACAGATGATTTTTTTTTTTAACACAGTGGTTGGCATATTTAAAACTCCAAAGTTGTAGAAAATACAAAATTCTTTGTATGTGTTATCTCACATAGTCCTGACACTCTAACTGCAGAACCTGCCCTCTAAACCATAGCACTGAAAACTATAGCCTTTCCTTTCCTGTTATAGCTTCTTTCATATACTGTACTACATGTTCCTTATAGGTTAGAACTATGTCTTATTCTTTACTGTTACATCAGTACAGATTTGGCCCTCCATTAATATCTGTTGTATGAATTAATGAATAAGAGAATGGGAAAGTTTATATTCTTCCAGTGCTGATGAATTACAGTATATTTACGTCTTACACATACAAAAGGACTATGGAAAAACAGACTTTCATTCGCATAAACATTTAAAGTGACTGACTCAAAAATACTGTCACTAACCTGAAATACACATAAATCCAGAAGAGAAAAAGGCTTCATTGTATGAAGACAAGTCGTCAGTCTGGGCATAGACAGCATACACGGACATGTGTGAACAAGCACATTCCACATAGCCTGAAGTGTCCTCAACCACTTTGCAAAATTGACTGTCAGACAACCAGCTAGGACAAAAACACAATAGTCATTATCCCTCTTTCATAGATACTTAGGGTGTTGAGATGGCTTTTAAAGAAAAAGAATAACCTAATGAACTTAAGTGTTCTTTATTCAAGACTTAAGAAGACCACATTTTCAAGAAGAAATACAGAAGGGAATATCTTGTCCAGGCCATGATATAGCAGATTCGACACGACATCTTAAGAAGGAGTCTAAATACCAACCAAACCTGCCAAAGCATCCCCACTACCAAAGAAGCTGGTCCTCTCAACAGAGCAGTACCCAAAGTCCCTACCTAACCTAAAAGGTTTCACCCAAGGTTTTCAATGAAAGGTACACTTCTCTACCATTGAAAACACCCAAGAGGTCAACATAGCCATGATATATGCAGTGTTCACTCTTTGTTTTTTCCCTAATCCTTGTGTTTTGAACCACATAACTTACTTGTTTGCTTTTCTAAGATGCCTTCCTCATCTTTTTTCTACTTTGGAGTCACTCGTATATACGTTTTCCAAGATTATTTCAAGTGTTTCCATCTATAAAGTCTGGTTAACTTAGCACCAAAACTTTGTCATGATTTTAGCAAATGCAGTGTCACATGCCAAGCCTTCTGAGTATTCCTCAGTGACACAACTAGTTGCACCTCTGCCTGTTTAGTGCCTCTTGATTTCTTTACTTTTCTAAGAACATTAAAACTTCCTAACCCAAAATACAAATTCAAGCTTGAAACATTGGTTATTAATTATACATTGAGGATTACAGAGTATCTATGTATTAGGTTTAAGATCTGTCATTAGGCAGTAGGAATTCAATTGAATTTTTCACAGAGAAAGAGACTAGTCAGAATTTTAGTGTTTGGGATGACAGTTGGTTACCCAACTAAGCTATTAAAACTATTTCAAATTTTACCTTGTGCAGCTGAAGTTCAGTAATAAATGACTAGGATGGACCCCAACCCCTCTCAGCCAGCACAGCCTGACCCTGCAGCATTGACTGAGGTCTGAGTGACAGTAACTGCTTGGAAACTTGAGGTCTTAGGCTGAGGAGATTCAAATAAATAATCACTCTCTTCTTCCCATTCCCATGCATGGCTTTAATCCCAAAATGTACTCCAAGCCATTTGTGAACCAAATTAAAAATCCTTTTAAACACAGAGCATCGGCTCCAGACCACAAGGCTACATGGAAGGGGAAAAAAGGAGGAATTTCCTTTCCTAACCTACAGATTAACTGATAACCTCAGGAAGGTTATCTGAATTGAGCAGAACTCATGCTATATCCCATGGAAGTCTTAGTAATAAAGATGTAAATAATGTGCTACACACATATTTAAACTGTTGGCTGCATTTGCCATCTGTGAAATGCTGGACCATTTTCTTTGCTGCTTCATCTTATTCATTGCAGAGGTCATTCTCCAGATTAACATTTCACCTGAGGCCACCAGCTATGCTAAGTATAAACCATCAGGCTCAGTGATACTGGAATGGGGAAGGACCAAATCCTGATTTTAAAAATTAGTATGTACCTTGCAGCAGCCTGATTCCAAAGGAGACACAGAGACGTCTGAGGAACAATTCTAGATTCGGTAGAATAAATCCTGTAGTGAACCTCATTGGTGTTAGTCAGGAGTTGTGAACTATGACCTTTCACACTCAAAGATAATACCTATAAGGTCAAAGGGAACAGAAAATTTAATGACATTGTCCAACACTATAATAGCTGAGTCTTCCATTCTGAACTTGACTTCATTTTTCTGGTAACTGCAGCTACTTATTTTCTCACACTATTAGTTGTTAGCTTACTTATGAATGCAGGGTGTCTGGTTTTCCATTGTGCACTTTCTACCTCCACATTAGTCACTCAGCAGTCTTCAGCTGATAACTCACTTTGACTATACTTGGCTGACTTCCTCAGGAGTTAGGCATACAATAAGATTCTGTATTAGTGAAAGCTATGTTTTTTCACTTTCCCCACTTTTATATATATTTACTCAATAAAACATGAAGGAAATATTTCCAACTCCTTTTGAAACTAAATACTCTATGAATAGTTCATAAAGATGGAACATATTTCATATTAGTTCACCATGTGTAGCACTTACCAAAAATCTGATCAAGCAAATGCATTAAATGTGTCTGCTAAAAAAAATCAGATTACAACCACAACTTTTTAAATGATAGATTACCTTATTTTTCAGTGCAGGAAGATTGTTTCCAGTTATAAACCACTGCTGGCTGCTATACTCTGTGAACTGGACTGATTTACATGTACTTTTCTCAGCCATTATTTCTGCATCTGGGACATCCAAGAATCTCTCTGGAACTCGAATGTAATCTCCTTCCTTTCCTTCAAATTTGTGCCCATTGATTTGCTGAGGATACCAGTGAAGAGCCAATATTGACAAATATGGGCAACTGTCAAGGATGGTTTTGCTTCTACAAAAGAAAAGCAAGGGGTCTGCTAAAACGGCATGTGTTTGCACATGTTTACCCGTGTATATTTGTTAAAATGCATTATGCTATTCATTCTTTATGTACTACAATGACTCTACCAACCCAGAAGCAGTAAATAAAATGTGCCTTAAGTTCCTTTCTGGTTAACTGTCAGGATTTTTTGTAGAATTTTCTGCATCTTCTTGCCTAATTCTCCTTGTAACATAAAACATGGGCTTTTGAAAGTTGTTTTATGGATATCAACATATAATTTATAGCTATAAAATGTACTTTTCTGTGTAAGTCACATAAGCATTGGAGGAAAAAGCTGAGGAAAAGGTGTCCTCACTGAACTGAAACTTTGTGTTTTACTTAATAACATTGTAAGCCTATATATCCAGCGCCATGTTTTCATCCAGAGTTACCTCGTGTCTTTCTAACCCATCAGAACACTACTAACCGTTTAATGTAACAAAAACATCCCTGAACAGTGATCTTTATTCATTTAACAATTCTGTTTTGAAGATCTCCTAGGCATAATAAGATCCTGTGCTCAGTGAAATTGCTTCCAAACTCCTGTGTGTGTTGAAATCACTTGGAAGCTGTTTTTAAAGTACAGATTCCTAGATTATACTCCAGACTGACAACATCAGATTCCTTCCCCAGGGAGGGGGCTAGAGGTTCTAGGAATTTATATTTGTAACCAGTCTCCCAGATAATCTGATGCAACCCTTCTATGGACCCATCATGTTTGCAAACAATGAGGCCATATATAGATAAATTGGATCTGAAACCTGCCTGAAAAAGTGTACAGAATATTAAAATACTAGGATAAGATTTATGCATTAAATGTTAAAAGTTATATGGGCCACAATAGATGTAGAGTATATATAATTAGATCATGGATCTAAATGATGTCTTGTCAAGACAAATGGAGTAGAGAATTTTAATTTGAGAAAGGAAAAGAAAGGGTAAGGGCCAACTTTTTCCTCTATCTATATGTCCTAAAAATATATCTTCCATAACTTTAACTACCACGTTTGAATTGGTAAAGATCTATCTTTAATCTACCCACTCCTCCAGGGCTCTAGGTCCCTGTTCAAGCCTCCTATTGAATCACTTCAATTTATATTGGCCACACACATCTCCACAACAGTTTGTTAAAACTCATCTTTTACTCTCCCACCCTGCCACCAGATTCCCACATCTTCAGTAAAAGCTGCCACTGCAGAGCCCCTGGCTGGACACAATGTGCTGACACCAGTGACCCTCAGCCACATGGCTTCACATTCCTTTTCCATCCTGCCAACTGGAATCTACTGTGATTCAGGCCATTCAGTGCTGTCACAGACTCCGCTGTCTTGGCAAACTGAAACCAATACACATGTACAGTGACTCTACCCAACCTTAACATGAGTGTGCCAAACTCCTGCTCCTTCTTTCCTGCTGATACCCAACACTCTCCTTGACACCTTAACCTCTTCTATGCATGTCCTTCAAATGCACTGACCTAGGTCAATCCCACAATCTGATTTCTATCTAGAATGAAGTGAGGAGAGAGGAAAACCCCACATTAACACGTAGACTGGCACCCCTACAAATCCATAGTGACCAACCTCCGTTGGACACTCAATGACACCTGGCATTGGTTTTACTTAACTTCCAAGTGACTGTTCTATATTCTATCATTCTCCTCAGTATCCTTGCTCAATTCTCAAATGCTTCGCTTTCAGCAGATGTCCTTGATACTGCTTAAGACAATGTATAAATAATGCATATCAGAATGCTCGACACCTTTAGAGTTTCCTCAGTGAAGAAACTAGTCTTGATCTCTTTCTTATTTTCTATGCTCAAGTTGTCACTAGCATGTTAATTCTACCACCTAATTATCTTCAAGGTGCCAGCCTTGTATGTCTCTGCCTCAGTTTCAGCCTTCATCTTCTCTACCTGAGCAATTATCCCCTATGTAGTCTTATTATTTCTCGCTTTGCTCTATTCTTTAAACTTTCCTTAGTGTTTCTAAAATCCTAAGTCTGGTTCTTTCACACACATGCACACACACCCTACCTAGTTCAACCTCTGAAAAACTGATGATCCCCCTAAACACATCATGCTATTTCTTGCCTGATTGCCATCATACATACTGTTTCCTCTTCCTGGACAACTCAAAGGTAAAGGTAAGTCTATTTGAAGGAAGCACATGACAGAAACCATACTGATTTATTTATTCATTCTATCTATGCATTATAGTGTAATCACTGAGAATCTACCATGTACTAGACACTGTTCCAGGCCCTGAGAATACATTAAGGAATTAGACAGAAAAGGCTTCTCTTTTGTGCATCTTACATACTCTTGAGTTTTCACTGGGCCTTGGAAGGCACAGAAATGGGACTCAACATGCACAGTGGGGTAGATGGTTCACCTCTAAGACAACCTTGATACACTGGTGATCTTGCAGAAAAAGAAATGAAAAAGAATGGAATTATGGGAAATGTAGCGCTATCAAACAAGATAGTTGAACACAGTTCTAGAGAGAAAAACAATCACAGGTATTAAATACACACACACACACACCTGCACACACATACACTGGTTTAAGTGCAAACTTATTTGAAGCAAAGAAATGAAACCATTTCAAAAGTTTCAGAAAACAGTATTAGAGACATTTATAAAAGGCATTAAGGAGCTGAACTGCTAATTATTGGTCTCAGCTGGACATTTAGAAGCTGTGGTGAGGATTAGAGAAGGGGGCTTCTGATAGGTGGCTCATGAGAGGCTTTTCTGATGCTTTGCTGATTTTCCACACTAAGAAAACTTCAATTCCTAGGACTTACTTATAAGGGTTAAAGGAAGAGTACAGTGTAAGGAGATGTTGGTTCTGTACCTTGATCTGAAGTCACACCCTAGCACTGATCTGGGCTGAAAGTCTGGGGCACTTTGGAGCCATGAGGCTGGAGGGGGAGGTTTTGAGACAAAGCAGGTGGTTACAATCTATTCTGACTATACAGTATGGTGGCCAGTAGGGGCTGTGGAGTCAAGTAGGCCTGGATTGAGGCCAGGCCTCACTGTGCGCTGTGTGATCCTTGGCTAGCTGTGTAAGGCTCCTAGCCTCAGTTTCTACATCTGTAACAGAAATACTAACAGCCCTAACTGTAACCTTGAATAGCTATTTAAAATGGTCTTTCATAAGGACAAAATAATATATACAACTTTTAGTAAGGATTACGTTGAATCATATGAAATTTTCAATATTATACTGTTTTTACCCACAAAAAAGGCAATTCATATTATTCAACTTAATACAATGTTAGGACTACAATAGAGGTATAGTTAATTTCATTTATATTATTATTACTGTTATTATTTTATCCCTTGTTCTCTCTTGTTACCCCTTTAGATGCCTTTGAACTTCACGTGTCTTGTGACCTAAGAACTGACATTAAAAGTGTCACATAGCTAACTGATTTTTTTAATTAACCTGTCAGAGTTCATAAAAAGCCCCATAAGTAAAGATATGATTTAAATTATTATACAAGATTTTTTAAATGGGGTCTTCAAAATGTTCCTGAATTTCAGTGCTACTTTATGAACACTGATGACAGCATTCATAGAAAATAAATAATAAAATGTATAGTCTTACGTAACAATCTTAACCAGACATACCCCACTAAACAACAGTTAAATAATAGTCATTGTTTTTATGATAACATATAGTATTCGGTGAGAATTGGGAGGAATCTGAATTTCATTGTTCTATTATTAGCCATTTTTATGTTAATCAAACAAGAAATAAAATATTTATGGATCTTTATATTACAACGATCCAATTTACATTATGAATATAATTTATATAATAGCATCTAAAGTATGTTAACATATAGTTATAAAATTAATTACATAATTAATAATAAGCCACATTTTATTTTTCCCTTTTCCTCTTGGCTAGCTTTCCTCCATAGAACTCCAGTCATGAAACAAAGAGTCTGAAGTTCAACAACATTCTGCAAGCATCACCAAATGGATTAAAACCATCTTAACTCTAGAAGTACAACTAACATCAAGACACACCTAAAGATTGGAATAATCTTCCTCATTTTTTCTACTTGGAATGTATCAATGTATCTTCTACTCATTAAATAAATAAGAGAGGGCAATAAGACTTTTCATATTTTAAAACAATACTTCAAAATACCAGAAATGAATTGTTCAGTGTAAATTTATTTTTCTTGATGTAGCCGCTATATTTTCTTCAAATAACTTCATTTGCCCAATAGGTACAATGCATTGATCATATAATTCTTAGTTACATCGCCTAAATATCCATTTGCATTTCATATTGCTTTGTAAACAGCAGGAAAAAATACACAAAAGTTCTGCTAATATATTAAAAAGTACTTACTTTTCACCAGGAGAGCCACAGGCAACATCAGTCAGCAGAGAAAAGGCAAAATTCTCAGTCACTTCTGTAAAGTGACTGAATCCCCTGGTGTCCTTACGCTTTGGGTTAATAAGAGCACAAAGAATCTCATAGAAAAGAGTTCGGCTTTTGACACTGAAAGCTTGATTTTTAACTTTAGCAGCTATCTGGAAAAAAATATCCAAGTATGAAAATATGTCTTCAAAAATAAACTTCTTCAAATATATGTAATGTATATATAACATATGTTCTTTATTAATAGTTATTTATATTAATAAGGATGAACCTATGAAGAATTTAAGAAAAGTAGATATTCAAATTATATTTCAAATACATCCATTTGCGTTTTAAAAGGCATAGATAAGCATTTATAAAGAAAAGATCCAATGACCAAAATATTTTCTATCCAATCATTATATAAAGCCCCAAATGGCTGCATGGACCACTTAATTTTAACTATAATAATTAACATCATTAGTTAAAATAAATCCCACTTTTACATGTATCCCAGGAGTCCTATTCATTTGATCAACAAATTAGGAAATAAATACCTCAAGAATATTTGTTATAATGGAAGCAAGATTATTCCTAATTATCCATGTTTCAGTGAACAGAAGCTATCTTATATCACTAAATTTCTAAAGCATCAAAAGAGAAAATCTTTTCTGAGTGTAGTTAAGAGCTCCTGGCAGTCTTGCCTTTTATAGTAAGTGTGATCTTTCCTATTTTAAAAACTGGGTTATTTTGCACTCAAATGTTTATAGCAGCACAATTCATAATTGCAAGGCTGTGGAAACAGCCCAAGTGCCCGTCAATCCAAGAGTGGATTAATAAAATGTGGTATATGTATACCATGGAGTACTATTCAGCTCTAAGAAACAATGGTGATATAGCACATCTTGTATTTTCCTGGTTAGAACTGGAACCCATACTACTAAGTGAAGTATCCCAAGAATGGAAAAACAAGCACCACATACACTCACCAGCAAACTGGTATTAACTCAGCAGCACCCAAGTGGACACATAGGAACTACAGTAATAGGGTATTGGGGGGGTGTATACATACATAATGAGTGAGATGTGCACCATCTGGGGGATGGTCATGCTGGAAACTCAGACTTGTGGGGGGAGGGGGAAAAGGATATTTTTTGAAACCTTAAATTTGTATCCCCATAATATGCCGAAATAAAAAAAAACTGGGTTATTTGTTGTTTGAGACACAAGGAAAGAAAATAGGAGGAAAAATATTCTTCATGAGTTTTCCTTGCCAGAATGAAGGGGGCCACATCTTTACTGTCTAACTAAGCATGGGTGTGAAGCCAATGACTTATTAATCCCTTACATTCTAATATATTTGGTAAGTCCCTATTACTTCTTCAAACTTTAAGTCATCACTTTCTATATGATTCTTACAATGTGCACCACCTGGCACCATACATTATCACTCCCTTTTTAACTTACATGTATCTTTATTAATGAACTTATGACAACCTTGAAATGGTTTGTCTGTTTCTCCCACTAAATGAGCTCATTGTGTAAGTGGTTTCATGTTCTCCATTTTTTTTTCATAATTTGGTAATCTAGTAGAGATCCAAGCTCATATCAGAACTGAAAATCTGAATTAAGAAGATTCACCATCTCAAAGAGAGTAAGGCAGAATGGAGAATACTACATAGGGAAAATACGGTAAGAGGTATAGAATACAAATTTAACAATGCAAAAACTGCAAACTGAGGCAAAGAACAGCCCACTGGATACTGAAACAAGCAAACTGAATGTGATAAATGAAAAATAAGCTCAAAAAAATCTCCCAGAACTCAGATAAAAAAATAACAGACAGGAAGGACAAATCTTAGTGCAAATTTCTAAGATACAAGCATATAAAAAAGGAGGTAGAAAAAATGACACAGCCTTAATAAGTTAAAGAAATATTCATGTCTAAAAATACAGAGATTGCTTTAAAATAGGGAAAATAAGAAAAAGAGACAGTATCATATGTATCTGAGTGATTTTTTAAAAAGATTATTTCAAGAATTAAAAAAAATTATACCAAAAACCTAGGAAAAAAAATATTAACAGAGAAACAAAAATTCAGTTTGACATCAGACTTTTCTGAAAATTAAATTCTAGAAGCCAGAAGAGCAGCATGTGCAGAATTTTAAGAATTAAAGGTTGTGATCTAAGAATTCTGGTGTTACCAAACTTCCATTCATATTCAAGGGAAATAGAAAGTTTCTCTTAGTAAAATGCACAAAAATGAAAAACAAAGACCATTTCTATAATACTTGGTTAGTATGGGCACTTTGTAGTTTTCAGCAGTTTCCACTGACTTCTTTAATTTTCACAACAACCTAGGAGAAAGGTCCTATTGTTATCTCTATTTTGTTTCCAGTTAAGGAAACTGAGGCAGGAAGAGGATGACTAATTTGTCCTAGAGCGAAAAACTGGTCACTGGCCAAGCCCAGGAGGTGTTCCTGACAGCCATCTCGCACTGACTCGCAACATTCTCCACTTGCTTGTCCAAAAATAACAACACAGATTGACTCAGTTCACAGACAAGTCAGTCAAAACTATTGCAAGCATGAAATATAAAACCAGCCAGTAAACTATCGAGTCAAGTCTAAATCTTTGTTAGTATAGTTATAAGATGAATCAAGTATAAAAAAAACAATTCTTAAAATATAAGACATATAATATTAAAAATTATATAATAAAAAGAAATAGTCTGGCTCTAAAGGGCCATTTACACAAACAACAAGAAAAGAACTCCCGAAATTGTCAAAAATGGGCTTACAAACAAGTAGAAGACCTGAATCAAGTATGAGTACAAAAATTAAAAGCTATCAGGATATAAAAAACAAAAACAGAGATCTTTGGAGGTAGATGATAGTCTATAAAACTTCCACAAACAAATCATTCCTGTGCTCTTTCAAGTGTTCCAGAACACAAATTGAGAGGCAACACCTCCACCTCCTGGCTCAAAGTGTTTGACTAAACTTCGATAACCAGCAACCCCAAAACCTGACAAAATTAAGAAGTCGTGTATTAAATTCAGCAGGGTTTTAAAAGACTGCTATTGGTATTTAAGCAACTGTAGCTTTTAAAATAATTTTTATTGCATCATACCTGGGAAAATCAGGTGATAGAATATTATGTCATAGCAGAAATTTACAGTGAGTCATTTAAAGCTGTTGCTCTTTTTAGTACAATATTTGTATCATCTGAACATAAATAAGTAGTCATTTCTGGTGTGTGTAACAACAATTTTCAAAGATTTATTGAGATCTTACTAAAAAGAAATATATCATACAGAGCAGATTCTGTTTCAAAGAACTTAGAATATAGAGGCAAGTAAAACTTATAAGTAGGAAACAATATCACTTAAAATATAGGACATTATAGAATGAAGTTCTATCTAGTACTTGGAAGTCCTATTCTGTACTTTTAATATTTGAGGTTATTTTAGAGTGTATAGCAATTTCATAATCTTATATATGAATGGTTGCTCGATAAAGTATAGGTGACTCAATTTGCATTTCATATAAGCAAACAATGACTTTTTGGTAAAACTATGTCTCAAATAAGAATTTGTAATATACTAAAAGAATTGCTGTTTATCTGAAATTCAAATTTAATGGGGCATCTTTTATTTTTATTTGCTAATTTTTGAAACCTTATCTATCCATGATAATCTATGTTTTAGGTGCTTGTTTCATTATTCTCTTATTCTCACTGTTATAACTATGTCTAAAACATGAAATATATATTTTATGCATTTTATAGATATATCTGAATTTATTTAACTAAGCCTGCCTTAATGGCTATTATTCTTACCAATTTTTGTTATTATAGTAAGTAATGCTAAAATAAACATTGTTGCCATACTTATATTTGCAAAAATATTCCCCACACCCATTAAGTGTCTTTTGGCTTTTCTTGTGGTATTAATATATACAAAGAGAAATTTCATTTAAATTGTATGTGGTCAAGTTATTGATCATTTCCTTTTGGCTTCTGAGTTTTGTTAGATGCTTTATAAAAATGTTCCTCACTCTAAACTAAAACGATAAAATGATTCATTCATGTTTTCTATTATTTTCATGGTTTCAATCTTAAAATCTTTGAAATCAAGGTGGGAAGATGGTTTGAGCTCAGGAGTTCAAGACCAGCCTGAGCAAGAGCAAGACTTCGTCTCTACTTAAAATAGAAAGAAATTAGCTGGACAACTAAAAAAATACATAGAAAAAATTAGCTGGGCATGGTGACGCATGCCTATAGTCCCAGCTACTTGGGAGGCTGAGGCAGAAGGATTGCTTGAGCCCAGGAGTTTGTGAGCTAGGCTGACACCACGGCACTCTAGCCTGGGCAACAGAGTGAGACTCTCGTCTCAAAAACAAAAAAGTCTTTGAAATCTTCGGTCTGTCTAGAATTTATTTAAAGCTAGAGTTTAGGACAGGGATCAGCTCGATTTTGCTATGGAATGGTTAAATCAGCTATCTCAGCACCATTTAGTGAATAATAATTTTTGAGCCATTGATTTAAAATGTCATTTTGTCATATAGAAAATTTTCATATGTATTTGGCTTTATTTTTGCACTCTTTGTTCTATTTCATTGATCTGAATGTCTATGCCTGCACTAGTGCCACTTTATTTTAACAACTGTAACTTCATAAAATTTTTCAAGTATATTTTCTTACTTGATGGGGCAAGGTCCCTTTCATTTTTCTTCTTTTTCAGAAAATTTTTGCCTATCATTTTGTCAAGGTAAAAAACCCTCCAAATTCATTTATTGATATTTTGACAGGGATTACATTGCATTTACTAATAGAAGTTAATTTACAGAAAACTGTTGTTTCCATAATATTGAGTCTTCTTATTGCAGAACAAGGTATAGATTTCTATTTATTCAAGTCTTTTATGTTACTCAGTAGGATTTTAAAGTTTTCTTTACATGTTTTCTGTATATACATATATATTACTATTGTTAAATAAGTCAGTTATTTGAATCACTAAATTTCAGTATTGTACAGTATTGTACAGTAATGTACAGTAATGTACATAAAAACGGTGTACCAACCACAATTTTTTTTAATGTTAGCGACAATAAACTGATTTTAAAATAATCAGAGCAAAGAGTATTTCAGCTGGAATACAATGATAATAATTTTCCTTTAAGAATTCAAATATTTTCTACTTGATTTATAATTGATTTATAATTCTTGATTTATAATTCTACTTGATTTATAATATTTTTATAACATTTCAAATATATTTTATTCCCCTAATTATTCCCAGGTTATTTATGTTATATGTTACCTTAATATATGAGAAAATTGTACTGTTTGCTAATGGTCAGTTAAAAAAAGTTAATTACATTTTTCACTAGTAGCTGCTTTCATAATTCAGTTTTATTATTCATGACAGAATTAGTAAATAACCAAGATATATATACCTGACAACCTTATTGAAGTGTTGATTCTTGATCAATAATATATAGCTCTCTTATATAACTTAATGAGAAAAAAAAAAAGAATTTCCATGTATCTTCTCTAATTCATATGAAATGGGGTTTTCTTTCCTTTTATTTTATTATATTTTCTTTCTCTCATTCTGGACAAAAACAACTTGCCATCATCCTACACCATTTTATCATTAAAAAATTTAAATAATATTTCTGAGAGTGAATTATTATTTCTAGAACTTTCTTTGCATGAAATAGAAGTCACTTCTCTTTGCTTTACAAGCTGGTTAGCATGGCCTCCTCCTCTTCTCACCTTTGCATTTTATTGTTTTATTTTCTACCATTCAAGCCTTGTATGTTAAGAGATACCACAGGAAACAAAATGGATGTGATAATCTAAAACCCCACTATAAACATCTAAGCATTTAAAGATCACTATGTAAGAAATACAGTATCTACTAATCAATATGTATATACTCAGACTTTTAATTCTTGTATATAAATACATTGATAAGAAATATCTTGATAAGAAAGCCCAAAATAAACCTCCACAGGTGTCTTTTCCTTTAGTAACAATTCTTTTTACATATCTTTTTTCATTTATATTCTTGGGATATTACATTTCCATTTAATTCCATCATTGGCAGAAGTATAAATAAATAATAGCTTTAAAATAAAATCTGGTTGGTCCAAGTCCATAGCAAATTAAATGCCTAAAATCATCTTTTCATTCCTTAATTCTCCTATTCTGTGAAAGTTTTCAGTGCCCAGGAGAGGCAGAGAACAGAGGGCAATAGTTCTGCTCCACAGCATTTAAAGTGGAAGGACTATGTAGATAAATCTAGTCCATGTCCTCCTTGTAGGGACTCAAAAAACTGAGGCTCAAACTTCAAAGATAATTGGCCAGTTTTTGGAGAATTACTGAGTGCCTGTAGCTTTTGATCTCTGGAGCCTCTTTTCTGAAGCTGGGCTGTCCTTACTACCAAACTAGATTACTCATCATTCTCCAATGACAAGTCACATCCAAGCCAAAGGACAGGGTCAGACATGATGAATTCCATTCTCATTTTCAGAAATTTAACTTTATCATAATTTCATGCTAACTGACGTTAGAATGTGATTTTTTTGTGTGTGTGTGAGTTTTTGGATTTATGAAATTTTACCAAACCAAGTGCTTCTTACCTTTTCTACCAAATGCATCACGGCACTGAGTTGTTCATCTGTGTTCTCTGTGGCCACTTTCATGTTGATGTTGTGGAGCACCCTGTTGAGAATGTCCTCATCCAGGGGCTGGTGCAGCTGATCCGCAAGCCCCCAAATGGCCTGTGACTCTGCATCAGAGACTAGGGTGATGTTGGCAGTCCCATATACTTTATCAACTCTGGCACCACCTTTTGGGTCAAAAAGCACAATCTGGAAGCGTTTAGGAAATGGATTTAAAGACCCTGTCTCTGGTGTTAGGACGACATCCAATACGGTGTTTCTTTGGCCAGGTTCAAAGACCAATGTGCCTTCAGTTCTCACAAAATCCTTCCCAGAAACAGCTGGAGATATAAGAGTACGACCAATTGTTTCAGCACTCCTCAACTCCTGGAAATTAAACAACACAATTTAAGTAAAAATATAACACCTCCGATCTTGTCCTAAACAAATTCTTATTTCTTGAACAAATTCTATTTCTCTTAAACAAATTTGAGGGCAATGATTATAAGAGTACTACTAAAACACAGGGTTTTATACTTTTTCTAATCTTTTAAGATAAGTTAGAGCAATAAATACACATCATGCAGTGATGAGGCTAAAAAAGAGATATCTTAGAATAGATCAAAGAAGAGAAGTAGAACAGAAATGTCACTGTTGCCTCACAGAATTTCTCCAATTGTGAACACAATAAAAATTGCACTTTAAATAACACATGCTGCAAAATGTAAGTATGGAAGAAAAGAAGAAATATTTACATTTTCATTCTCACCTACAATTTCTGGGGTGGTGGTGGGGAGAGTACAGAGATAGAAGGGAGGAAAAAGGAAGAAGAAATTGGTCCCATGTTAGATACGGAAATATCCTAAGGAATAAGATGCCTGATTTTCTTCTAATTATGGTTATTAAAAAGTTCTTTTTGGAAACGTGTTTTGGAAAGTGAAGTATGAACACTTAGTCAAGGAAGAATCAATGGAATGTGCATTGATTTACTGCTGAGCCAGCAACTATTAAACTCCCAGTGCATGCCAAGTGGCATACCATGATTACAGATTTGAATAGCAGAATACCTGCACTAGTGGAACTACTAGACTAGTAGTTATAGATTGTACAAGGGCTATGGAGTTAATGAAGGCAATGCCATAAATACTCTTTACTAAGTTATAATAGCAAAGTATTAATAGTATGTGTATTAGTCAGAACTGGTAGGATGTGTGTGTGTATGCATATGTATGTATGTGTATATATATGTGTGTATATATAGATAGATGTATTATAAAATAAGGAATTAGCTCATATAGTTATGGAGGCTGATAAATCTTAAGATCTGCAGGGTGATCTGTCAAGCTGGAGACCAAAGAAAGTCAACAATTTAGTTCTAGTTCAAGTCGGAAGGACTGAGAACCAAGAGAGCCAATGGTATAATTCCAGTCCAAAGACCAGCAGGCTTGAGACCCAGGAAAAGCCAATGTTTTAGCTTGCGTCCAAAGGCAAGAAGAAGCCAGTGTCCTATTTCAAAAGCCACCAGGCAGGAAGAATTCTCTCTTACGTGAGGGAGGGTTTGGCCCTTTTGTTCTACTCAGGCCTTCAACTGATTGGATGAGGCCCACCCACATTAGGAGGGCCAGCTGCTTCATTCCATCTACTGATTTATATGTTAATCTCATCCAAGAACACCCTCACAGAAACACTCAGAATAATGTTTGATCAGATACATGAGTATCCCATGATCCAATCAAGTTGACAAATAAAAGTTACCATCATAATAGGGAAAACTAGAAATTCATAAAAATATATCATTTCATCAAGAAGTGTCATTTATGAGTTACACAATAATGATAGCATGTGTTTTAGAAAGAATCACTTATAAAGCATCTAGAAAAATGTAAATAACAGAGATGGTGGCATTCAGATTCATCTTTTGGCAACTTTAATTCCTCTCTCATCGGAGTATATAGATTGGTTTAAAATGTATCTTAAATCTCTTTACCAGCTGTTCTTTATCTCCAGTTCCCCTTCTTCCACTCTACAAAGTAGTGAGCCTATGATGATATATATTTCACGGGAGAAGAGAAAGAATGAAGCACATACTTTTTCTCATTTCTCTTCCTATCTTACATACTCTCAACAAAAATGCTAAACTCTCCTTGCCTTAAAATACTTCTCTTTGTGTTCATACCACTTCAAGACTATTTAAAATGCAGTTTATTTTCGGGTTTCATATAATAGAGCTTTGTCTTCTTGTCTACTGAGCTGTGGACTCTGCCATTAAGATAAGTTTTTTCTGCATGGCCAACTGCCAGGACAGCTTGCCACCCACAGCTCTAGACTTACCCTCACGTCTCTGATTCACATGATTGCTACAACATACTGGCCATACGTATATTGTATTTTGTGCGCAGAATGTTCTATTTTTTTTTTAAGCCACCCAACAGTGACACCACTAAGCACGTACTAAACTGGACTTTTAATAACACTTTGTAAACTTGAGGCTTAAAGCGTCACAAGGTTTGGAATCGTAAAACAAGAGAAATGGCAGCACTGTCCAGAATGGTGGCTTTCAAATCGTGAGTTTCCTGAAGTCCTATGAGTTGAAGGGGGAAAAGAGGGCTAAGGCTGGCAAGCTACAATCATCACAACTGTGCTTTAAACAGAGACACATTTTGTTTTACTATATTAGAGTTTCACTGCCAAAGCAAAGTAAAAAATAATGCTGAAGAGGTATATGTGTTGCTTGGGCCAAGCCCAGAACCTGGGCACTTAGTGTTATGTGGCACTGCTCTTCTGAGTCCCCACATACCACCTGCCCCCTGTCTTCTATGTGATGTCACCTAACAGGACGGACATGGAAAAGTGGCGGTAAGGCCTCATGAACACATAGATTTGAAGACACGTAAAGAGCAGTTAGTGTCAGAGGTTCTGAAGAAGAAAATTTTCAACTAGTTCAGATGTAAACCAAAACTAGACCCTTACTTTTTTGCTTCTGGTCTTATACAGCTACATTCTGAAGAGATTTTAACTCCTTAAAGATTTTATAGTACAGATTTATGTAAGACTGTATAATCAACCTTGTTAAAAGAAAGAAAAATAGAAAAGTCTATCATTTTAAAACATGATCTACCCATTACTGATGAGTGAAAAACTGAGCTATTTGAACAACAAAAGATTAATGTAATAAATAAAATGTGAATTATGATGGTATCCTCTGAAAATAATATATGAAGTATTCTCTGTTTCATTATACTTGCTACAGTTAAAGAAGAAAACCTTAACGTGTATGAATATGTATTCCATACTTACCTGGGTACTAAAGTTAACAGACATCATTACTCCTGTCCCAGAATCTCTGGCCACCTCCAAACTGATTAAAGTGGCCTTCTTGTGAGCCACTGCCAGCCGAGAACCCACAGAGAAATACATGAGGCTTCGAGGTTCATCACGCTGCAAGATTTTAATCTGTGCAAATCTGGCACTATTGTTTATTGCTGCTCCAGCAGTTACTTCATACAGTTCCACAAAAAAATGCATTTCAACCTGAGATATCTGACAATGAGAAAAAAAAAAAAAGGTTACTAATAATATATTTCTATATTTAGCTAGTCTGATATTAAATGGCATAATTCCTATATATCATTACAGAGATAAATACATATCTAGAGACACATTCTGTAAAATTACAGAATTAAATTCTTATGTGAGATTACCATAGGATTTATTTTTTGGTCTTTCTTTAAAATTACACATACTTCTCTGGGTGAATTTCTTACTGGAGCATCAACATCAGAAGACAATCTATGTATACTTCAATAAGCAAAAGGATAAATAAAATGTATTCATTAATGAAATATGATAAAGGAGTTAAAAGTAAAGAATTAGTTCAATATCTCTTAACACAGGTGGATCTCAAAATGTGATAATGAGGCCGGGTGCTGTGGCTCACGCCTGTAATCCTAGCTCCTGGGAGGCCGAGGCGGGCGGATTGCTCAAGGTCAGGAGTTCAAAACCAGCCTGAGCAAGAGCGAGACCCCGTCTCTACTATAAACAGAAAGAAATTAATTGGCCAACTGATATATATATATAAAAAATTAGCCGGGCATAGTGGCACATGCCTGTAGTCCCAGCTACTCGGGAGGCTGAGGCAGAAGGATCACTCGAGCCCAGGAGTTTGAGGTTGCTGTGAGCTAGGCTGACGCCACGGCACTCACTCTAGCCTGGACAACAAAATGAGACTCTGTCTCAAAAAAAAAAAAAAAAAATGTGATAATGAGTGAAAGTAACAAGTTGCATAATGATATGTATAGCATGATACCATAAATGTAAAGTTAAAAATTATAGAAATATTGTTAACAGATACATATGTATGTAAAGATTTAAAAAAAACACCCACCACACCATGATAGCAGTTGCTTTGGGTAGAGGGGTCGGATGAGGGACAGGGCAAGGTGTGGAGCTGGAGAATAACACTGGGCAGAAGCAAAAAGTAGAGTTTAAACTTTGCCTGGAAGGTTTCAATTTTATTTCTTTTATTTTCAAAAGGTTTACAATAAATTTTGATAATAGTCAATTCTGTAAATTTGTGCATTTTTCAAAATCTCCCAGAATTCAGTATCAAGTAAGACTAAATTTAGTCTGCTAGTTATAGTTTGCTCATGTTTCACTTGGTTCTTTCTCAACAATCTCAAATAATTTATTTTCTAAAGCCCAAATTCCATTTTGTAACATCCTGTCAATCACCTGTTTTTACTAATGATTCACTCTTACACAACAATCTAAAAATCTTAACAATAGTGTTAGTTTCCTGGCATAGCCCAAAGGAGCTAAGCTGATTCATTTTTCAACTTCATGTGTCATTCTCTAATTTGGTATAATACATCATTTTTATTTATCAGCAAGAACCTTATTCATTATATGTTTTGTGATCATTTTAATGATAATCATTAATTTATGACATGATACAACAAACCCTTCGATATTATTAAAAAATAAGCCATAGCTTAGTAACACAATAAATAAACTTAATCTTCTTTTGTTGTCTGAAGAAATATGTTTAGCTTTCCTATGGCACATATCATTCTTTACTTTTGCTGATCAACTGTCTAAATATTGAAATATGGAAGTAACTGTACTCTCACTTTTGAGAAACTAAATTTGGCAAATGCAATAAACTAAGCACTGGTGTGGGTAACTATAGTCAAGAGCTATTATTCACTAATGGCCAAGTGAACTTGAATTCACAATAGTTTCTCTGAGCTAAGAATTTCAGCATATGACATTCCACCAGAGACTCTTGTCTTATTTTCCAGTAAAATATTCTTTTTCATTTATGATGATAATTAGAACATTACTTGCAACCACTTACAACCAAAAGAACATATTATAATCTGAGTGAAGAACCATCTAAAACTGAACAGTGTACAGATGAGTGCCAACACATTATCAGACTAGAGATAAAAGGAATCTTCTAGACTTACAAAGAAATATTCTACCCAACACATTCCTCAAGTCTGTTGAGAAACCAAGATTCACAAACCATATCTGAATCTCTCTAAACTCCTAACCATGACTGTAGACCTCACAAGAACCTATTCCATGTTCAGCAGCTTCCTTTCCTAGATAGCTCAGAAGCATTCCAGGATGATCTTTTGCCCCAACTAGTATAAAAAGATCTTTTCCAGGCCCAGAACTGCTCAGAAACAAAAAACCAAAGTAATAATTACACAATATCATACTTACTTAAATATTTTTAAAACATTTACAAGAAATGTTTAAATGCTGATTAGTTTAAACAGATTTTGTGGGTTAAGAGTATGCTTCCTAAGGCAATTATTACCTTGCACATTTTCCTAATACAGAACCATAAGATAAATTATCAGGTAAAGGGGAAGTGGACTACAACTCCAGAGATAGGTCCTAGTCTTGTCCCAGTAACTGAATGAGCAGGTCACTTAAATTCTTCATAACTTGAAAATGAAAGTATCTATTAACCGTAGAGATGATAATTAGAAATACAATAAAGTAGAAAAACGTTAAGTTGAGGGTCAGAAGACTGGACTGAGGTGAGGAGACAGCATCAGCAATCAGTGGTATAATTTTGTGGATGCCTTGGTTGTGTTTGCGGTATCTGTAAGCCCTCCTACCACTAGTGTTGGTGTAACTACTCAAGTCACGAAATTCTCGAGGTCTCCATTCCCATGCATTCTGAATAACAGCAATACCAGCTCACTTATGAAGAGCTAACTCCTTACCAAGAGCTGTGCTAAGAACCTCTCATTCATTATCTCATTTAATCCATCTCACAGCCCTATTATTAACCCCATTAAACCAAGGAGGCTCAGGAAGGCAAAGCAACTTGCCCAGTGTCACCTGGAAAATTAATAAAATAGTTGAGATTTGAATCAAGGTCTTCTATCATCAGAGCTCAAACTCTTAAGCCCTATTGTGACTCCAAAATAAGTTCAGTATAACCAATGCCCTACTTTTGATAAAAAATGAAGAAGATGGTTCTTAGATCAAAAGTCTGGTAATAATTGTGTTGCTCTACTAGCACCTCCAAATAATCTCTCAAGGCCCACTAGAGAAGAATAAAGCCACAGAACCGTGTAGACATAGCAGTTTATCAGACATAAAAAGAATTTGAACTAGATGAGTAAGTAAGATCCCTTTTAGTCATAAAATATAAGATGTTAAAATGTCTATTAGGAGTTAATAGTACTTTTTAAAAAATATTTTTTTTCACTTTTGTAAGAACATAATCTTCTTCCTTCTCTCTTTTAAAATTTCCTCTTAATGAGACTAGAATATATATTATCCTTGCCTATACCTTGCCTTTCAACAGCTGGAAAGACAATGAGAGCAAAATGCCTTGAAAATTAGCTGCTTCTCCATACTGCCCAAAGTGATTTACAGATTCAATTCAAGCCCCATTAAAATACTAATATCATATTTCAGAGATCTTGAAAATATAATTCTATGCTTCATTTGGAACCAGAAAAGACCAAAAATAGTCAAAGCGATCTTAAGCAAAAGGAGCAAATCTGGAGGCATCACATTACCAGACTTTATACTACAAGGCTATTGTAACCAAAACAGCATATATTGGCACAAAAATAGAGACATAGACCAATGGAACAGAAAACAAAACCATCCACATACAGCCAACTGATCTTTGACAAAGCAGGCAACAATATACAATATACTGGAGAAAAGAAACCATATTCAATAAATGGGTCTGGGAAAACTGGATAACCACATGCAGCAGAATGAAACAGGATCCATATCTCTCATCACTCACAAAAATTAATTCAAGAGGGATAAAATACTTAAATGTAAGGTATGAAATGATAAGAACTCTAGAAGAAAATGTTTGAAAAACTCTTCTACATATTGGCCTAGGCAAAGAATTTATGACTGAGACACCAATAGCAATCACAGCAAAAATAAAAATAAATAAATGGAATTTGATTAAACTAAAAAGCTTCTGCACAGCTAAGGAAATAATCACCAGAGCAAATAGACAATCTACAGAATGGGAGAAAATATTGATAAGCTATACATCTGATAAAGAGCTAAAATACAGAATTTACATAGAACTCAAGCAAATCAGCAAAAAAAAAACCAATTAAAAAGTGGGAAAAAGACATGAATAGAAGGTTTTCAAAAGAAGATAGACAAATGGCTAATAAATATATGAAAAAATGCTCAATGTCATTAATCATCTGGGAAATGCAAATTAAAACCACAAAGAGATATCACCTCACCCCTGTTAAAATGGCTTTTATTAAAAAGTCAAAAATAATAGATGCTGGTATGAAGGCAGAGAGAAAGGAACACTTATACACTGTTGGTAGGATTGCAACCTCTATGGAAAACAGTATGTAGATTCCTCAAAGAACTAAAAGTATACCTACCATTTGATCCAGCAATCCCACTACTGGGTATTTATCCAAAGGAAAAGAAGTCATTTCATCAAAATGACACTTACACTTGACTGTTTATTGCAGCACAAGTCACAAATGCAAAGATGTGGAATCAACCATAATGCCCATCAATTCATGCGTGGATTAACAAAATGTGGTATATGTATACTATGAAATACTAATCAGCCATGACAAAGGATACCTTTTGCAACAATATGGATGTAACTGGAGACCATTATACTAAGTGAAGTATCTAAAGAATGGAAAAACAAACACCCCATGTACTCACTATTAAATTGGAACTAATCAATGGGCACACATGCACTCAATGGAAATCAATTAGTGAGGAGGGAGGAGGAGGGGGTTGGCAAAAACCTACCTAATGGTTATAATGCACACTATCTGGGTAAGGGCATACTTATAACTCTGACCCAAGCATTTCAAAAGTGATCCTTGTATCCAAAAATATTTGTACCCCTGTAATATTTTGAAATAATAATAATAATAAAAAAAGAAAATTAGTTGCTTCTCAGAATGTAGAAGAAAACTCAACTAACTCTATGATTTGGACATTGCATTTGAAAGAGAAATTAAAGATAAGACTAAATTCTTTCTCTTATCTAAATGAAACTATTTGGTTATGGGCTCAGTAGCATTTCCCTAGCTAGGAAAAAATAGTTACACAGTTAGCATCCTATGTATTGCCAACCACATTCTCTTACCCCTTAATTATAACATCTTTAATATCTAGGAATTAATTCCCTTAGTGCTGTCTTGCAGGAGGGCAAGCACAGAGGAAGCATTCTCTTCCCAACTCCATCTATACTCTTACTTTGGTATTTCCCTTCCTTTCAGCTTGCCCAAGACCATTCCTGTTGAATCTTCTCTCTCTGCTGAAGGTAGTGTTTCCCTCAAACTGTATTAAGGCACAACTTCTCTATGTTTCAGAATCTTTAGCTACTTTGCCTGGCTGCTGTCACGAACAAGGTAGTTTCCACTTTGTGAAAATTGTTTTCATTTCTTTTAACAAACAAGTTTCACTCTACCAAAATCAAATCAGCTAAAGACTGATAAAAACATTTATCCCAATAACAACGTAGGTATGAACTGACTGATCTCACAAGACTTTACTTATAATTATAAGGTTAACACTTATTGCATGAGACACATATTTAAAGTCTAGTGAGATTTTTCCGGGATTCTAATTCACCAAAAATCCTATTCAAGATAAAATGCATGATGAAATTTTTAGTACCCCATGTATGTAACACATATTTATGGAGGATGGTGATAGGGTTGCAAAGAAGAATAAAATCCATGTTTAAGTTTTGAGCAGCTAAGAGTCTAATAATCTAGATAAAACATGTAGAATAATGTAAAAGTGTGCATATAACCGAAAACTTCCATAAGAAAGGTACAGATAATGTTTTGTAAATGTAGAAGATTAAGAATTCTATTATAACTGGAGATTTCATGGGAGAAATCATGGAAGGAGTGATATTTTGATTAATTTTTAAGGGACAGCGATAATTAGGAAATGCAGGGTTGAGAAGGTTTAAAAATACTTGGAACATACGAATACAGTAAATCCTTACTTAACATCATCATGGACAGGTTCTTGGAAACTGTAACTTTCAGCAAAACAATATACTGTGTCGTAGATACTTAATGCTTTTTTATATCAATCAGACTATGGTAAAATTTGGTTAGTTATAAGCATGTCATTTTGCTTAAAGTCTCAGTTTCCCAGAACCTATGGACGATGTTAAGAGAGGGCTAATCTAATATTTTGAATATTGAAATATCATTTCCTCATCGTCGGTAGGATTAAAAATTTTAGTAGCTGATGAAAAACCCACTCAAGAAAAGCAAAATACAATAATATGACATGTTAAACTAAAAAAAAAAATGGGAATTTAAAACTTTAAAGAAAAAACATATTTTATAGCTCTAGTAATACCAAGGTAGACAACAGCAAGCAGCACATTTGCCTATTAACAACTCTCATGCATACCTCTAGTATTAATACATAGACACAGATCTCTAAAATACTTTCTGATGAAAGAAATCAAGTCCTTTGACAGTAGTTGATTGGATGGCTTACATAAGGAAAAATCAAGACAGATCCAGAATGTGTTATGGGTATAAAGCAAATATACTTCCAGAGATTTTTGAAAGTAACACTGAAAAGACAAAGACCAGCTTAATAAGACTCTCAGTGGCCATGATATGACTATTTGAGTACCAAAAAGAAAATCATTTAGTAAGTAATAAAAATTAGTTGAATTTGAATCTCCAATGTTAATGAAAGGAGAAAAGTTATTGTAGTATAAGAAAACAGTAGTTATAATGTATGTGTGAATATAATAGTGTGCACTTAATATTTTATTTATTTTAATGTATAGAAGGGTATTAACATACCAAGAGACTTGTATCTTTTATTAAGCATGTGTTCATTTATTAAGCAACAATAAACGTTTTCTCTGTGTGTGTAAGAAGGAACGGGTTAATAAAAAGAATTGTAACTAAGACAATGATTTCTAGAAAAAGTAAAAATTGTACCAAGAATAGGAATAAATGATTAGTACTGGGGAAACACATGAAAACAAAGTAGAAAGCAAATCTGGGAGTTAAAGAGCACTGGTGCTCACACCCAAGGTGAAAAATGATTCAGTTGTACATCTTTTCCAGTGTGACAGAACAAATGGGCTGAAGAGGCCCATAAAGGCACAGATTTAATCTCATCTCTTAGGAGATGAAGCCTCTAGGTTGCCCTCATAAAGATGTTAACAAGGCAGGCATATATTTCCAGTAGCCCTAGCAGACTGGCTCAATGTTCAGTAGTGATAGGGAAACAGTTAATGTAAAGCTGGCATTGCAAAATTTAAAGAACAAATCATTCTGGGGAAAACACATGCTATTTAAAAAATTAACGTGAAAAGTATAAATTCACAAAGCATATTGCTCTAACAAGTAAAGTCGTAAAATGAATTCCAATCAGATGTCCAGCACTTCTCCTTTGAAATAGCTTGGACAAAAACCATAACTCATGGCCACAACAAAGAGCAAAGAGTTGATGACTAAGATCCTGTAATCTTTGGTGATCGAAGTATTCTTTCTCTTTTAAAACCAGAAAAATTATTAAAATTCCCAGGGAGGTATGAAAACATATATTATTGTAACCTTGAAAAATATCAATGTAACTATTACAGTAGTTCTCAGAAAGTGAAAAACAAGCAGAGAAAAAAATGCAAAAAAGTTAACCCTACCAGGTTGTTATTTTAGAGTAGGTTTAGGTATGGTTATGTTTGGAAGTAATTGTATTTGTGCATGCTTTCTCTGCTGTCGACAAAGAATAAAGAATCCTCTATACTTTTGAACATTCATAATATGGTGGCTAGTTTTGTATTAAATATTTGAGTTTAATATATAAATAAGTAGCAGACAAAGAACAAATACTATTGAGTGTCCCTTGGGTATTTGTATTTGGGTAATAAAGTATTAAAGCATCACAGATAGTCATTTTTAAAAGCCAGATATAATTTTTAAATGCTCTTCAAAGCTCTGTTAGGTCATTAGTGATCAAAGCTATTGGAATAATACAGATTCCCTTGGAGGGAGGGAGGGATGTCTGATTCCTAGTGTCATGTGCAATGTGAACCGATGGAAATTTATCCAAAGGCTTACCAAGAAATGCTATGTGCCTTTTTAATAATCAAAACTGAACTCTCTAACTATATATGAAGAAATAATAAAATATTTTTCTAATTTATGGATATAATAAATACAAAAAACTAAACATTTGGAGTAACCAGAGGTTCTAATATGGCTGAAAATGACACAATGGATCATTCACACAATGGGCACCTGGGCTAGGAGGAATCTTGGAAAGGGCAAGAAACAAAAAAGGAGAAAACCAACAAGCTTATTTATAGAAATTCATAATGTAATAAATTCTAAGTCTAAAGTCTGTTGTCCAGTAAAAAGATTTATACATTATACCTAGACAAGACACAAAGAATCTCTACTTAATATATAAGTTTAAATAAAGTGGCTTTAAAATGATTAATTCCAAAGAAATATAATTAGAAGTTAACAATATTATGCTTCTTCATGTCTTACCTTCTCTGGTTTGAGTTCAACACTGATAAAGCATTTTGTTTGACCGGTCACACATGTTGTGGTCCCTGACACAGACAGGAGTTCATCCATCAGGTTTACCCCATCTTTCTGAAGCACGGTGGCTGTTTCATTAAGTGTGACTCGCCAAGAGACCTTGACATCTTCAAAGGCCCTGTGAACAAAGAAAACCCATGCAAATGCAAGAGTGTGTTATCTTTGTGTCTAATAGAGTATGTTTTCACAGTGTCTAATTGTACCTCTTCATCCAAAGACTAGTACTTACCTAACCATTGCTAATGCTGAAAATGACCAATTCTCTTCCTTATAGATAAGAAAATTAAGGCTTAGGGTTTACACAGTATTATTCTTTGACTATACTCTATTCAATAATGAATAAGTATTTATTGAACTACTACATATCAGGGATGTGAAAATAAATAGTCATTTTCTGCCTAGTATGTACCAAAAAATGTGAAAATAAAAAATTATAGAGAACTTGTGCCTTCAGGTAAATGCTCATTTGTCTTTTAATAAGAATTTTCCTAAAGGAAAAACACTTGGGCTAAAAATGGTTGTTATCATAAAAATAAAGGGAAAAAGATGACCTACATTTTCACAGAATATTTGGGCCCCAAATGGCAAATGTAATATATTTAAATGTGCATGTGTGCATACTAAGTACATGTATGTAATGAGTATTCAAAAGATGGTACTATAAATTACAAGCAAAATTTTGGTACACCAGGTCTCCCTCACAGTAAAATGGTTAGAGTAGAGTGAACAGATAATAGTAAATGTGATGAAGTGATGATCTATATAATCTGTCATCTGTATGGTACTTTATGATGCATAAATGTTCAAAGTAGCCCTAAGTTATAATAATAAACCAAGTGTGTTAAAGTACAGATTAAGAACTAGAGCATCTGAACAGACATATCCAATTCCATACTTTCTTCTATCAACATTTCATCCTGCCTCTGTCGTTGTACGAATTCAAATTAGGCACCGTACAGACTTGCAGGATGCTACATCTCCCACATACTGTTATATATACACATGTACCTGTTGGGCTGCCTTGTGACAGTAAGACGCAGTCTTCTCATATCAGCTCCTTCCCAGAGTTCTAGTCCACTCTGGGACTCCTCACTGAATCCTATGATGCCATTGTGAAGATCACTCCCTGAAAGGAAAAGCGAAGGGCTGTAATATATTTAAGAATTTAAAAGATCTCCAATGCTTCACTAATCTTGCCAGCTCAGATGGTATACAAGTGAGAAATTCACAAGTGTGTGCGGGGGGGGGGGAGCTATAACTTTTAAATATCTTTACTAAAAATAGACTAAAAATTGATAACGTCCAGGTGGCTGACAATTTGAGAACAGAAGAGAGAAGAAAGAAAACATCAAACTCACTCCCTATCCTGACACACACATATTCATTTCTCTCTGTTGATATCCTACTTTATATTTGATAGCATTTGATAGTTTATACGTGTTTATCTGTTTAAAGTCTGTATGTCCTCACAGATTGTAAGTTCTACTAGAGCAGCCACTGCTTTATTTACTGCTGTATCTACAGTACAAAGAACAGTGCTGAGCATATGGTAAGTATTCATTAACAATAAATATTTCCTGAATAAATGAACTCCATTTAATGGTTTTATCTTCATATAAGAGGGTTGACCAAAAGACTGTTTATGGTATGCATGCACTGATTTGCCCCAGATTATAATGGAACTACTAAGGAACTCCTGAGCATTTCCTAATATCAGAATCTCCTCTGAGCAACACTTGAGATTACAGAGACCATCACACTAAAAACTGGAACAAACCAGTACAATGGATAGATCAATTGCATTGGGCCAAAAGCAAAACAAAAAGAAATAGTTTTAATCTATTTCACAACAGACACAATATTTCCTGACAATGAGATCTTTGACATTAGGATAGATTATTGAAAGTAGTTGGCAAATTTAGAATGAGGTCTCAAAACAGAATAGGCAATCATGTATTTGGATGCTTAAATTAAATATGTTCCCTATATTGTGAAAGTATAGATTTATAGATTGTCTATCTGGCTCTGATCTAAGTGACATTTACAGTCTATTACATTGAAGCCTGGCGCTTCAGAACAACTTCATGAGTTCACCTCATGGGTCCATTCAATAGAAACACAATGTTTTAATGACTTACCAAGAGTGACTTCAATGATTCACACTCTTAAATTAAGCTAAACTGATGTTAATACAAATTATGTACCACAAAAATATATTTTTGTCTCCATCACTTCAAAGATATACCTGCAATTATGACTGTGGTAAAAGCTGCAAATCCAGTGTCATCCCTTCCCTTCACGATCTGTGCTCCCCCTCGAGGCTCTGAGAGAAACACGTAGAAGAATTCCTGCCCTTCAGGCTCATCATCATCCAAAATTTGAACTGATACTCTCTGTTCTCTTTCTCCATCTAGAAATGTAAGGATAAGAGTTTGTTCTTCAAAGTCTTCTTCTTCAACTGCCCATGTTAGGTTGGAAATTCCATAGGCATCATGAAAGAGCGATGCATTTGGTTCCTTCTGAGCACATCTTTCACCAAAAGTTTTAACTGTTACACTGACATTGCCAGTAAACCCACCAGTTCTTCGGATAAGAACTTCTGCTGTATTGAATGTGCCATTCTTCGTCTCCTCTTCAACATAAACAACAGGTGGCCCGAGACTAAACATTCCATGAATGGAAACATTGGCAGTTACAATGGCCACATCAGGCCTTTCAGACGTGGCAGGTGTACCATGAAGGGTGACAAGTTTCTCAGGGACAGCAGATATACCAGCTGCCTCGGTAACAGTGGTAACCATATCAGTTGGCTGTGGAATGGCGGTTGTCTTGCTTGTGCCGGGGTGTGTGGTGGAGTCAGTTTCTACAGAAATGAAAGTTGTGTCAACTGCTACATCCACAACATCCACTCCTGCCAGGTCATCATTATCCAATATTTTGATCACTGCAACACTGAAATCTAGATTCAGGCGTGGTCTCCAATTAGCATCAAGCTTTTGTAATCCTCTACTTTCCACTGAAGTAAGGTTAATGTAGAAAATTTCTTCTGTCTCAGGAAGGTGATCATTAATAATGATTATTTCAAAATCAACCTCAGCTTGGAATTTCTGAAAATAAAGTTCCCCATTCTGAACAGGCTCAAAGTCTTCCAGCGGCTCAGCACTACCTGCAGTTGTCTGATAGGAAACTCTAATAAGATCGCCATGGAACCCAAACAGCCTTTGTACTTGTAATTTGATCATCTGTGCATCCTCTGACACGATGATATTTCTTGAACTAGAGGAAAATTGGAAGACTCCCATTGGTTCAATTTCAGCAATGGTGAAACCTGATCTGGAAAAAAAATATTAAACTATGAGGGAATTGATAAAAAAAATAGGAATACCACGGTAGAGATTCATCTTTCACAGTTTTAAGATGTTGCTCATGGAGGCAGCATCTTAACAATGACATGCCTTTTGGAATTCCATAAAGCCCTACCTACTGCTTGATAAATGAGAGCACAAGAAATGTTGGAACAGGAGTTGCGATAGTGGGGACAAGACCTAACGAGCCTGAGCTAAAGGAAGAGCTCAGAGGTCTTGGGTCATGACCTCTAACTTGAGAGTGGTGACCTGGGGTAGCATGCTCAGTAAGAACCGTGACGGCAGCTCACCTATTTTTAAAGGAATCTGTCTTCTGAGAAGCACCTGAAAATACCTGATTTACCCAAGTGATTAAGAGTAAGAATAAGGTATACAGTGGGTAATGTTCCTTGTTTAAACAAGTGGTTCCTTTGAGTATAATTTTATTTAAATTTGCTATTTATCTATAACAATTGTTTATATGCACCCAGTATATTTCTTGATAAGTATGTTCCAGCCAAAAGCGATTTACTTTCCTCACACCTGGGATGGCCTTGACCAGAGCAGCAGAGGGTGGACTTGAAAGCCAGACTTGGGGATTTAGTCTTGGCTCTGCCACTTACCTGGTTGTGCCACTTTGGGAAAGTTACTAGATCTTTTTGTTCTTTGGTTTACTTAGTTATAAAACGAGGAAAATGTGCGGGCAAAACTAGTGTGTGTTCGGGTATGTTTACGTGTGTGGGATATTCATCGGCAGAATCAAATATGGCTTTAGATTATACACACACCACTTAAAAAATATTTGTCTGGAGAACACATTTCAGAGTCACACATTCAAACATGACAAACTCTCTTCAAGCCAAGCAGTGGGCGAGGATTCTCCTGAAAGCCAGCCTGCCTCGTGGTGTCCTTACGTGTAAGCCACGTGTTGCTCTAGACCAACACTGTTTCTGCCTCTGCTTCAAGGAGAGCAATTCTTACGCCTTTTTGTGTTTAGACTGATAAATTCCAAATTATTCCTCAGAGAACTTCCTGGCTGAGAGACAGGCTGGTCTTACCGAAGTTGAGCTCCCCCAGGAGCACTGCTCTGCACTCCCGAAAGGTGAATAACGAAGGCCTCTGACCGACCAGGGGTGGGAAATGTCCACAGTAAAACTTCTTTGCTCTGCTCACCATGGGAGAATGAAAGGCTCCCTGAAAGGAAACAGAAAAAGGAAAGTAGGGTATCATTTCTTAGTTCTTAAATTAGGATTCGACTCTTAAAAATGTAGTAAGATATTTTCTTTTCCAAAATTCGATTACAGTCCACAAAAAGTAAAATATTTTAAAAAGTGGGGAGGTGCTGGGTGTGGTGGCTTGTGCCTATAATCCTAGCATTTTGGGAGGCTGAGGCAGCAGGATCACTTGAGGCCAGTAGTTTGAGACCAATCTGGCCAATGTAGCAAAACCCCACCTCTAAAAATATTTTTTAAAACATTAGCCATGTGTGGTGGTGTACACTTGTAGACCCAGCTACTAGGGAGGTTCAAATGGGAGAATTGTCTGTGCCCAGGGGTTCCAGGTTATAGTGAACTATGATCGTGCCAACGCACTCCAGGCTGGGCAACAGAGTGAGATCCCGTCTCTTAGAAAAAAGTTGGGGAGAGAGGTAAATAAATTTATAAGAAACCCCCTAAATCACATAAACCTTGCTTTCAATCCTTGTCTACTCTTGTCATTTATCTCTTCTTCTTTCCTGGCTCCATTACAAAATCTAGCAGTGAAAAGGGAATGGTGTTAGGCAGGCTTTGATGTGCATTCTGTGTTAGGTTTTGGTTTAAATTCTGACCCCAGCATATTTCTCGAGATGCATATAGAAGTAGTTTGGAATTAAATAACATAATGTATGTATTTTGCTTTAAATTACTTCAGAAAAAAAAAATGTCACAAATATGATGAAATGTAACAACCACCACATCTAGTCAGTGAGTTTATGAGTGCTCGTTGTACTTTACTTTTTCATTGTGTTTGAAAATTTATTATAAAAGATCAAAAAACTAAATGAACCTGTTTGACAATATAGATCTATTGTCCAAGAACTGGTTTTTTATCTTAATCGTGTTATGATAAATTCACAAAAGTTTTTGAAGATTAATTTTATATGTAAGCACAAAGTCATACACACACCCTTAATAAACAATATTTCTACACATAAATCTTTTTGTACCTAGTAAGTAGTTACTCACACAAAAAGCAAAAAGAAACCCACTAAATTATATGCAGCTGTCCATTATCACCCAAAGTGAAAGAAGGGGAATAAAAGATAAGGGTTTCTGCAAAAAAAAAAAAAAAAAAAAAAAAAAAAAGAACCTCTTTTATCTAAAAAAAAAAAAAAAAAAAAAGGCTAGAAAATAAACAAGAACTATAATTAAATATCTTTAACTTAGGGGACATGCCAAAAGGAAATAAAGAGGGCTCAGTGTTTGATACATTAGGTCAGGGGTACCTACTCAGTGGCTAAAGAAACCCCATATCCAAGGCAGTTCTCGTGCTATGGTATCTCTCAATCAAGCATCTGAATTCTCTCTTTGTATTTACTGGGATTGCTATTGGGGTGGAAGCTGGCATGACAATGTTGTCACTTTCACTATCCCTAGGCCTCACCCCCATCTTCTAAGGGACTTTGGTTTACAGTCCTTCTTATCTCCCAGTGATGCCAAGACCTTGGGAAAATGAAAATCATTCCATCCTCACTGAGAGAAGGAGGATCTCAGTCTACATGCAGCATTCATTAGATTTATTACTGAGAGTAAATGGCATTTGCCTGGTGACCAGCAGGACACTGTGAAAAAGGAGTCATCACAAAGATTCTGAGCCCTCTGGAGAGTCTTTTATATACTGTCATCATATGAATTTGCAATGAGCTTTCTAACATTTGCATCTCACCCTCAAAGAGCTAATGGTGTAATTTAAAAAAATAAAATGTTTGAAGTAACAGCTGCCTACTGTCAGAATATTCAGATGACCATGTAAATGGACACAAAATTATATCCTTTTTAGTATTTTATGTGCCAAAGTAGGTTTTTAGAAATAGTTCTAACAAACTCCTGATGTATGGACAGATTAGTCTGCTTAGTGACCACTATTTTGAAGTGAGGTAGGAAGCCTTTAGTTTGACCGAAAAAAGTTTCTCTTTTCTCACCAAGCAGCCTGAACAACCCCAATCACTTCAATACGGAAGCACTGTATTAGAAAACTAAGAGTTTAGTGTTCAGAGTAAGGATGACCCAAGAAAATCAGCAGCCGATTACACACCTTCATGTTCTACAGGCTGATCTTAGAAAAACTACAACTCACCCAGTGTTGGGGTCATGTTGCCAACAACAATGAATTCAGGGATTTCCAACCCAGGAGCATATCCAGTAGTCCAGGCAACCGAGAGAGACCCATACGTGCCTCTCCTAGAGACCCTAACTCGACTTGTGCCAGCCGTGATGTCCATGAGTTGAAAAGCAGTGGATTCAAATCCAACCTGAGGAAAACATGCTTATTTCATTTTTTTTTAAAGTGTCTTGTTTGCTGAAGAGTGGGTGAAATGTCAACTTTCCCTTTGTTTATACAATATATTTCCTTGTCTTATATTCAATTAAAAACAAGTGTTTACAAAATGACAACTCAGACTTGAAAATTTATTCTACTTTATAATTCAGATTAAAGCCAATGACTTTCTCTTTTTATCAAAATATAATCCTTTGTAGGATAGAATTATATCTCATAATGGCTTCAAAAATACACACATTACCACAGTCATAGGCAACAGCCTTGTCTCTTACTGATAGAATCAGCCAAAAAATAAATGTAAGGCCCTCAAGTTGTTCTTTGTTTTCATGTAAATTTATGAAGTGACTGGGAAACGATCTTTTCTACAATGAACTCGGGTAGAAGATTCAAATATTAAGTTGCAACCATATCATAGACCTGACCACTAGCATTTATCTATGTCATCATAAGCTTGCCACAGTGAACCAAATCCAAATACGAAAGACAAATACAATGTTAGTAAATTAAAAAGTTGGCAACATTAATTAATGTTTCATTATAATTTTAATTCTTTAGCACGAAATACCTCAATATTAAATATTCTACATCCAGAAAAGACCTGGAAATTTTTATTTTAGGTGATTGTTGTTTTAAAAAGTCTGTACCTTACACTCAAATTCCACAAGACAAAAGCTTTCTAAACCTCCAAAAAGAAACCATATCTTCTTACCTAATGTTGAAAATTGACAAATTATTTTAATATAATGCATCCATTATGTCTCCTTTGTTATTCGGAGGATAAGATTTAAGAAAATAGTTAATCTTAAGAAATTCTATGTGGAAGAATCTCAGTCATTCCTAGAAAAGCTGCCCTCTAGTGGTTCGCTGAGAGTACCACACCCAAGGCCAATCACCTGAGAATTGGCAGCTTTCTCAGGGACAGGAAGGACGGCAGACTTTGCTTCCTGGAGAATTGTCGGCATTCCATAGAAACGTCCACCAACAAGCATCACAGTCACTAGCTGCAAGGTGAAATTGGAGCCCAGTGATAGGAAGACCTATAAACAAACAGCATCAATGATTTAGAAATAATGGCTAGAGAAAAATACTGACCTTTGACCTGAGCCATTAGCACACTGCCTCAGGCTACTTTTGTTGCAAACAGCTTCATCAATATATACACTTTCCCCCTTGTGATAAGACAAGCCACCAGTATTTAGAGCTTGGGGTGAGGAGTGGTAGTTGCAGAGTACAAAAAATACATACTCATAAAGTTTCCACGTGTGCCCAAATGGCCTCAAGAGTGAGTGACAGGAGTCACAGAAGAGCAGTATGATGGAATCATGTGTCAAGAGCACGCTGGTGCAAGTGTCAGCTCCTGAAACCCAGCAAAACTTACTTTTTTCCTCCTCATTGAGTAATAACTAATAACTCTAATGATATTCAGGGTGGATAACTATTTCAGTGTGCTGATTATTTGAATATTTTGGATAAATAAGAATTACTAACACCAGTATTAAAGATTTTCAAAATTTTGAAGTCTAACAAAATAGGGGAAATCCTTAATTTACTAAATTAGTATTATGCTAAAGCTATTTTTGAAACTTACAACACATTTCCCCATAGGAATACAGGTATTGGTAATAATCCCCAAGTTATCCCATAACTTGGACTATTCCTAAAAACTCCATACAACTTTATTGAACGTAGAAAGCAAGCATTTCTGTGGGGTCTCTTCTTCTTTTAAATATAATGAATTTAAACCTATATCACACCCTCAGATGTAGAAAAAAATATACCACAGTGTTTTCAAATGTTGGGTAACATGAGGGTAACCAATGTTTTAGTCATTAAAAATTACATTAACTGAACATGAATCATAGGCCAAGTGCTAAAGAAACAAATAAATCATAGTATCATAACTTCAATCGTGTGCATCCCGTCTCTCCTGTAACAGTGTACCCCTTTCCCATGCAGGTCACTGGCTGGGCAGCTAATGACTTTTTATTCCTATTTCCTAAAGAATAAAAGGCCAGATGTCAGCTCAAAGCACCCAGTTGCTTGTGCCTTCCCACCCAGTTCTTGTGCTCATGGGCCCATCCAGTACACAGACTTAGGTATTGCAACAGATCCCCAGGGTGCAGAAATTAAAGCTGAACACGAGTAATAGTGGATTTGAGGAAAAGCTGGTTTACCTACAGAATAAAAGTGGTTAGATAAATTTGAAAAGGAATTGGAAAGTTTTTAGCAGTTGACCATGTTCTCTAGCATGCCCTTCTATGTCCTTGATCCAGGACTGCCTCGCCAATACTATCTTATACATTGCTCATCATTCTTGATGGCATTTGGGCACATATAGAATTTACAGTCCCACAATATCCTATGCACATCTCCAACATTGTTTGTCCACATGCCTTTATAACTGCTAGTTAATGGGTCTTCTCCTGAATAGGGAGCAACATAATGACAGGAATTATGTCTCAGTCATCTTTGTTTCTGCTGAGCTTTTCACAATAATTGGCACATAGTAAGTGCACGATGAATCACTCAACCACAAATGTAAAATTCCTCTTGCGTTCTGACTTAAACTCCCTAAATTTAGACTTGTTCCTTTAGTGTGTCAATGATTCTTATTGTCAGTGTGTGCCTCATAAAAGAAGCCACTTGTTAACCAGGTGTTAACTTAGCAGGTGTTAACAGTTTATATTCCAAGGTCCTGGTGTTAAACAAACAAGAGTCTGTTGTTTTTAGAGCCCAGTGGAAAGTTACCCTCTTCAGAGACCCACTTGAAAGGTAGAAGGCACAGCACAGGTGGTTGGGTACATCACTGCCTTTGGTGTTCTTCTCTGTAGCTGACCTGTCCACAAAGTCCTAATTTTACCCAGGAAGGTGGAGCAGGGAAGACTGTATGTAAATTCTTGTAACTAATATTCCAAATTTCAAAGAGCAATGTGTTATATCCAGGGTGAGAGGGAAGAAGGGGACCACTGAAAAAATTGTACCTTTGCTTTATGTCACACTTTGCTCCAAAGAGTGGCCTTGGAAGACTAACTGACCAGTAGCTACTAGTATATGTGACTATGAGCAGTCTTATACCACACATTAAGGAATGTGAGAGAGAGAAGGAAGCCATTCAATTTGAAATAGGTTAATAAAAGACCTTAAAGTAAGCAAAAAGAGAGGACGCTTTTATGCATGCATAAGCTAGTAAACTGTTGTTACTCCTTATTGAAAACAGAAATCATAAAAATAATTTAAATGGGTTCAAAGAAGATAGTAAGAAATTCATAGATGATAATTAATTTATGTCATTAGGAAACATAAGTATTTTTTACAACTATATTGCTAAACTTTCAAAGCAAAATGAAACGTGGACTATTATCCTTCAAAATGTTCCAGTCACAAAGAGACACAACCTAAGAACTAGTCTAGGGTCTGAGTCCATGAAATATATATTACATATTTTGCTTTTCCTATCCACAGTCTGAGAGCAATTTTGTATTGCACACATTGCTTAACAAAATAATAAATAATTTAATCTTCTTTGTGGCAAGTCTTATTGTCAAGTGAAATCTTATTACAAAATGATACAAAGCTATTCCTAGAAAAGTTAAAAGAATGTTCCCTAGTGTTCGTTAGTAGATTATGACTTGAATATGTTCAGAGTGTAATGCTATGAATGTATGGGAAAATATTTCAAGTCACATAATTTAAGCATACTGTATTTTTTTAAAGTTTTCTAATTCATAAATGAAACTTAATACGATATTCCAGTTAACTTAATACACCTCTCATTTTCCCAGCTTTGTGCTTTTTATTTCAGGCTTGAGAATTTCTGGATACAGGAAACGGAGGTTAGAAATTAATGAGGCAAGGCCATGACATTGAATCAGTTTCCCAAAGAACTACAGCAGGTCCTCAAATAATGTCATTTCATTATAACGCTGATGAGAATCAAGATCAATGCTCAGGCAGGGCCCCGGGTCTGTGTGTGGAGTTTGCGCATTCTCCCCATGTCTGCCTGGGTTTTCTCTAGGTACTTGGTTTCCTCCCACATCTCAAAGGTGTGCACATGAGGTGAGCTGGTATGTCCTCAAGGTCCCAGTGTGAGTGGGTGTGGGTGTGTATGAGTGTGCCCTGTGAGGGAATGGTGTCCTGCCCACAGCTGTTCCCACTCTGCACCCTGAGCTGCCGAGAAGGGCTCTGGCCAATTAGAATAAGTGGGTAAATGATTATCATACTTGTTTTTATTAATCTTTCTTAAAATGTATGTATAGCTCACATTTATTTCAATGTTTAATACTTAAGTGTTTGGTCTTTATTTAGAAGCTTGTTGATGTTTCTATAACTAGAAATATCCCATAGAAACTTAACTCTTGTTTATATCAATTAGCGTATGGTAAAATTGGTGTTGTTATAAGTCCTTTTGCTTAAAGTCGCAGTTTCCAAGAACTTATTAATGATGTTAAGTGAGGACTTACTGTACTGGAATGTAGGAATAACTATGAAATCTAATGAGGATTAAGAAACCTCTATATTTTCCTTTATTAAACAACAACTAAAGACCCAGGTGCATAAAGACCAAAAGGTTGCATAGTGAGTATAAATTAGGGTAATAGGCTTTTTGCTTATTCTGAATGATAGCCTATTTTCTATTGATCATAAATTTATATGAAACTTAGATAAAACAAACAGAAAATTGCTTCATTTTTCTCCCTTTGGTGTTTTGTCAGGTTTCTTTCCATTATCTTTTAACAATGACATGGGTAGATCTCAAAGCTTTCTGTCACTTTCAGGAATGTAAAAGACCAGACCTTTATAAATTAAAACTTCAAGTTGGCGTTCAGTTAAAGCTTCCCTATTTATCCTAGTTCTTGCTTGAACTATGGCTGAGGATCTGCAATGGGAAAGGGGTCATGCCATGATTTTCCAGTAGTCCTTCAATCCCCCCTTGGACCTTTCCATCAATTTTCTGGCATTTCCAGGTTTGGGGCAATGGATACTATACACATTCAACATTAACTTGTGAAATAAATTAACCTCTCTCCTATGTACAAAGGATATACCATCCTTGGGAGGGTAAAGAATAGTCACTGAAATCACTTTCTGTGGTTCAGACTGAGAAAGACTACTAGGATATCTACTTCACCCACAGGAATCCCTGCAGTCTTAACACTTTCACCCCAAATGTTGGCAGGGCAGTCTGCTACCCTTTCTCCTCATTACCATCACAGAAAATCACAGCCAATTTCTTATGTTCCAAATTTGTAAAGAGAGAAGCAGGTTCCAGTCTGTGTAGTCACATAGCCCTTCAAATCCCAGGTAGCAGACATCCACCTCTCTCACTACACTTCCCTTTGGTGGGAGCACAAGGAGGCCTACAAATGTCTCCCTTACGAGAGTGTGTGTGTGCACATGTGTGTGTGCATGTGTGTGTGCACATGTGTGTGTGTGTAGGTGAGTGTGTGGGTATATTTGTGCAGCACTTGGAACAGTTCCTAAACTTTATAAGTGCTAAATAAGTGTCTGCTATAATCTAGACAAAAATGTATTATTCCCAAATAGGAATACACTTATTTATTTATAATCTACAAATGTATTATCCATTAATTATGCATTTTCTAAGGCATTTTTCATGGATACCTTTAAATACCTGAATAAGTCTTTAAACTGATCATGATGTAAGCAAGGGCTCCCCTAAAGGAGTTTTGTTGGAATGATGAGGAAACTGAAGGAACCCCACAAACCTGATTCTTTATTGGCACTGTGTCCACATTATATCTGGCACCATCTTTGATCACCAGCTGCCTCGCTGCATTTTCAGCAACAATCGGCTGCTCTTTATGATCAGACGATATTCGAAATCCAACAGCTACATCTCCAAATGTTCCAGCAAGCCGGGTTATGTTAATTTGGATGGATCTAATTAGGTTCTGCCCAATAAGTATTGACTGGCGATCTGAATATAGGGCAAATACTCCATGTGGGTCATCGTTTGCATAAACAGAGAACCATGCGATGCACTTCTCCGGATCTAGTTCTGCTCCTCCCTCTACAGACACAAGCTGGATGAAATAATCTTCCTCTACCTCAGGCGTATCATCTGGTAGCAAATGGACATCAAAGCTAGCTTCACTCTCTCCATCAGCAATGGTGAAAAATCCAGTTGTGGAAGAAAAGTCATCAGTAATATCAAACTCACTATTTAATTCCCAGTAAACCTGTAAAAACCCAGTAAAAATAAAAGGGGAAAAATCCAACAAAATTATATAATTGAGTATATTGAACCAAAATCCTTTAAATTATGTTTTCCTCTGTAATGCACAAAAAATAAATTTTAATTGTGCATCATTATATCCAAAGCCAAACGTTCTAGTATATGTTAGTGTGGAAAGGATATTAGCTCTTTCAGGCTGTCATATGCAATTTGTAGGACAAGATTACAAAATCTCATGATTTCACCTGCTTCTAAAATAATAGCATAATTTGAAGATATAAAGAGAAGAAAGTTAACTTTAAACTGACAGTTCCACAAATACATTACTGAACACTAGGCAATATTTGAAGGTAAAAGATAGGTCGATAACTTAAAAATTCACATCAGAATTTGTTTTTGTTTTTTATTAAAAGCTAGTATCTATAGAATATCAAGAATTTATCATTATATTCCAAAAATTCTTGGTCTCCAAACCATGAAGTTTCAACTGAAGAAGTACCAGTATATCTCCAATACAGGAGGAGGAGAGGTAAGTGTGTAGAGAAATTTTTTTAAAAATGTTTTTCTAGCACACAAATTACCTTGATCTGTTAGCCAAATATCATGAGGTTTACAAGGGTATCTCCAACATTCTCTATCAATGCACACACACAAATGCAACCTCTTAAAAAACAGTTGCTAAATGGAAAAAATTATATCAAGAAATAAAGCCCTGAAAAATATTATTAAGAATTCATAAAAATCATTATGAGGCTTAAGTGGGAAAGACTTCCTATTATAGCAAACAATAAAATATAAAATATCTCAGTCCTTCATAATAAAGTATGGGAAAGAGCTTTCTAAACTAATTGTCACCAAATTTAATTCAGGGAGATAGCTAGAGGTTGATGCTGGCTGGAGAGCCAAAAGGTGCTTAAATGAAGCCTCTCAGTTTCTCTGAAAACTCAAGTGACTTCAGTTTATCAAAAACTTTGACAGTTTCTCTGCCCCTCTTAACCACATTTGTTAGGCAAATTGGCACTCTACTTAGAAAAATCAAATTAAATATGATACCGTAATCTCTCCAAAGGTGCCCTTGACTCTACTGACAAAGAAAGTAATGAGGAGGGGCCCTTCCAAAGCTGGTGGCTCTGAGTACGTCTTCTTAGATAGAGACTCAGGAGCAAACTGTACAACTCCATTTGGATCACCAAACTTTTGTATCTAAAAAACATAAACAGAGAGCAGAGTAATTAATATATAGAACTATGGAAAAAATTACAGTATCTAACATATTAATACACAGATAAAGCAAGGTAAGAAACATAGAAATAACACTTGAATATAATCCACCTAGCTACCTCATTTTTTAAAAACTTCTTTACCACCCTGACTGCTGTCTAGAACAACTAAGTTCTTATTCCCCAAATAAATATGATGGGAATAAGTATCCAGACATCAACAATTTGTAGAATCCCAAAAGGATAGTACTTTGATGCCTGAGTTTTGCCTTATTCATCTCATATTTGCTACATTTAACCAGTTAAATTTAGCTAATTTCTTTCTACTAGCTATGATATAACATGGAGAAAGAGGCAAAAATCTCTGTGATGGTTAATTATATGCAAATTGGCAAGACTAAGGTTCCCAGTTGTTGGGTCAAACACTAGTCTAGGTGTTGCTATGAAGGTATCTTCTAGACATGATTAACATTTACCATCAGTTGACTCTAAGTAAAGCAGATTATGCGTGAGAATGTGGTGGGCCTCATCTACACTTAAGTTGAAGGCCTTAAGAGCTTAAACAGAGGCTTCCTGGAGAAAAAGGAATTTTTACCTCAAGACTAATGTAGGAATCCTGCTTGAGTTTCTAGCATATTTGATGGCCCTACAAAATTCAAACTCAAGACCACAGCTTCAACTCTTTTCTGAGTTTCCTGTCTGACACCCTTACTCCATGGATTTGGACTTGCCAGGCCCCACAGTCATGTGAGTCAATTCCTTAAATTCTTTCTGTCTGCTTGCTCTCTCTCTCTCTCTCTCTCTCTCTCTCTCTCTCTCTCTCTCCTATTAATTCTGTTTTTCTAGAAAACTCTGACTGCCATAGACTCCAAACAAGAGTATTTTCCAAACATAAAAATGCTGTGCCATCCCTCTGCATTGTCTTCAGTAGCCTTGGTCCCCACCACTTTCTGCCCCAACTGACTGGGTAGTTCATGTTAAGTACACTGAACTCAGGTCTGATCCACTCACATCATTGTGCTATTGGAACAAATAATAATTTTCCTTCAAATAATCTGACCTACAACCAGTTAACAATTTTTATGTGTTTTGATGACAAAGATATTCAATGTTTAGGATGATATAACACATACCTCCTCTCCAAAAGTACCAAATATTCTAAAAACACCAAGTCTTCTTAAATGTTGTAAAATAAGTATTTGTCACTATATTAAAAACATTTTTAAAAAAACATTACCCATAATCAGGCCATGTAATGAACATAAAAACCAGAATGTTTGACCCATCAGAATTATTATGACTTCATTTTGTTTTGTAATTTTCAATTCATCATGAATATACAGAATTTTGGCAAATGTAAATGTATTTTCTGATAAATCCATTAAATCCAAAATTTTGTGAGAAACAGAAAGCCAGACTTACTGTTAATGTAACATCTTTAGCTCTGGAGTCTAATTTAGCTTCTCCTTTTGCAAGTTTAAGTTTAATAATGAAAGTCTCTTCAACTTCAATTTCTTCATGAGGATAGATTGTCAGAATTATAGTTCTCACTCCACCTTCTCCTTCTCCAAAATAGAAGAACCCGCTCACTGGCTCTGCAATGTCTCTGTTCTGTGGTGGTAAGGCTTCCTGAGAATTGGGTCCTACTATCTCCCAGTTCACCTGCAGGAGGTTTTTTTTTTATTTTTTTAATAGAAATGATCAGTTTTAAGCAAAGAATCACACAGAATATGTAGTATTAAGAAAAAATATTATTTTTTAAACTATTCTGGATATCTCTAGCAAATCCTTATTTGATAAATTCATTTTTTAAAAAAACAGTATTTGCAAATATAAACTACATATTTTAAGTTTCTGTAATTTAAAATTGTATCCCTTCTATATCATCATGAAGAAAGAAAACTGAGCACTTCATTCAGGTTCTTACTTGATCTTTCATCCGCATTGGACCCAGCTGAACACTTCCTTCTTGAAACACTGTCCTGTCTTTCTTGGCTTACATGGTACTTCTAGGATACATGCTTTCCTAGTTTTCCTCCTCCTTTACTTCTCTGTCTTCTCTACTGGCTCTCCCTCCTCTGATTCTTAAATGCCGGGAGCCCAGGGCCCGGCTCTACATTATCACACCTCTCTCCATACTCCTTGAGTCCCACAGGTTCAGATGGCTCCCCACACGACCACACCTTCCCCATCTGTGTCTGCAGCCCTGGCCACCCCACAACACGCACCAGCACATTCCCCTGCCTACTTGACTCCTCCACTGGGATGTCGAGTAGTACCTCAAATGTGTGTGTTCAAAACAGAACTCCTGATTTCCCCCCAAACTTCTGCATCTCAGCAAAATACCACTACAATTTATCCAGCTGCCAAACAGTACTTCTTGGAGTTACCCTTGAGTCCTCTTTCCCTTAGTCTCCATTTAGCCAGGTTAATTTTTCCTCCAAAACATATTCTGCCCCTTTCTCGCCATCTCTACCTCCACCACCTTGCTGGGTCACGGTCAGCTTTGACCTTTACGGTAAAGAGCAGCAGCCTCCTAACCATCCTCCCTGCTCCCATGCTGCTGGCAGTGGATTCTGCGCAATCCATTTTCTTCAAAGCAGACACAAATGAGCTGCTTTAAATGACAATCTGGTGGCATTATTCCCCGGCTCACAACTTTCTAATAGCATTCTATTTGAACTTGGATTGAAATCTTTAAACTAGCTTAGGAGATTCTATGTGGTGAAACCCCTACTGAGCCCTGCGCTCTATCTCATGCTGTCATCCCCTCACCTCAAGGCCCCCCGACCACATGGGCCTCTCCATACCTCAAGCATGAAGTTCTTAAATGCTCACCCCTCTAACCTCTTCCTCAAAATTCAGCTTTCAGCTTAAATCTCACACCCTCAACACCCGCCAGACCACTCACAATTGTGTCTCCCAATTTTACAAGCAGAGCCCTTACTGTTACCAGAGAATTTTCTTTGTACTTATTAACTCTTTATTGTCCAACTCTACTTACTAAAATGAAAAGTCTATGAAAACAGAGATGAGGTCTGTCTAGTCCCCCATGATGTTCTCTGTATTTAGAACAGGATCTGGCATGTAGAAAGCACTCATCAAATACTGAATTGATGAATTTTACCAGAACCATTCACCTAATTTATAACATGCTCTCAAGAATTCCCTGAAGTCATATGTATGCCTTGAACATTTACATGCACTTCATTGAACTCAGAGCCGCTTTATACTTACAAAGTAATTAATAAATATTTATTGATTTTGAATAAATAAATATATTTTGGGGACTAAGAAAATCCAACACCATACTCAGTCTACCAAAAACTATTTTTAAAATCATGAGAAAAACAACTCTACCTGAATCTCTCCCAGGAGTCCTCCGGTCCGCTCCAGCACCAAGGATAAAATCATTGTGGAATTGGGGTTAGGGACAGAAATTTTGCTTTGATTGAGAAATCTTACAACGCCAAAAGGAGAGTCATTCTTGGCAATCGTGATTATGCTCACTAGGTGGCGCCCAAGGACCGCTCCTCCGGTAGCGCCAGTGAGCAGAATTTCAATGGGCTCCTCAAATTCACTGCATAGCAAGAAGGAGCAATTCCGTTAGTCTAAACATATTAAAGTGCTTGTAAAATCCAAATAACTAGTCATTTTCCAAATTGGTCATACATATTCAAGGCACAGTAGTCACACACCAAGTGGTAAGAAGAGGGTGCTCAGCTAAAAGCATGAATGATCAATGTCAATATTATATAGCCTAGGGCAGTTATTAGACTTTCCTGCCCTCTTTCTAATTGCTTAATGCATTAAGGAAGTGAATTGAAGGATGTTTCCACATTCTGATTAGACTTTTTAAGTCTACAGAAACAGAAATTATTATTTCCTCTATTTGAAATGAAGTGACATATCCGACCACCATGGTATCCCAGCCCTTCTCCCTACCCCACTACCCCCAACAGTCTCTCATCCATTGTTTCTCAATGGGCACATGTATTATCTAGAGTTCTATCATCAGTGCAAAACACATGTAAGGTTAGAACACAAGAACACAATATTCATGATTTTTGTATGCCCACATTATTTCCCGTATGACTAACCTTTCATTGTCATCAATGATGGTAATATTTATAAAATTTAAGTTCTGTCCATGCTGAAAGGTGACTGTACTGCCATGTAGTATATAATCGACACCTCCAGGAAGGGCAGAGGAGCTCTGAGAGATGAAATCAGCTGTCACATGGCCATAGGTTCCATGCAGCCTCACCACTGGGATCATGATCATCCCAACATCTTCCTCCACTGTAATGAGAATTTATAATTAACTGGTAAACCGGATAAAGCAACTTTTATAAGATTCAGCCAAATTAAATCTGGCAATTAAATATAATGGTACAATGTAAGCACTCGATTTTTTCATTCTTCATTTATCACTTCAAAGAGTGGTTGGTGAAAAGCTCATGACATTTTTTTAAGGAGGAATATAGTTTACCAGATGTTGAAAGTTATAGTCAACAGTAAAAGTCAGAATTTAAATAATCTATTTGATCATTAGTATAAGCCTTCTTCCTCTGTGTGCTACATACAAATAAATGACCCTTGCTTTCTAAGACAATGTTAGATGAACACAAACACACACAAAAAAACCACTTAAAATATTGTACCAAAAGGAAACCATTCTGGATAGCTTCTACAGATTTAGTGAAGTATAAATACAATAGTATAAGTAAATGAGGCTTATGTTATTTATATCACACAAATGTTTTAAAAGTCAAGATATAAATATAATTCTATTACATTTTCAGTTCCTGTGAAATCTTCAAAATCTGAAAATGGATACTCAATGTTTAATTTCAACTTAATTCTTTTCAAAAATAAATTTATTTCTTCTTAAACTATGCTAACTTCTGCATATTAAAATATCATTTATTAGGGTTCGCATTAGCTATAGCTAAATAACATTGAACTTACATTGTAACAGTATATGTGCACTGACTAAAATTTCCCAAAGATGGTGAATCAGAGAACAGTAAACAAAAAGAAATTCAAAGTCTCATTTATTTCTTGATGCAAAAATGCAACAGGACTTTTACTAGCTACAGATTAAAGTTCACAAACTAGAGAGTGATGGCTTCCTGATAAGTCATTATACACCAACTCCTAAAGCAATTTTTGATAAACTTTAAAAATGGCTAGATAACCAAAGAATTTTGATAGAGGCAATGAAGCCAACAAGTTAATTGTAGCAACAAGATATTAATAACATGTGTATTTTTAAAGTTTATTCATAGTCTGCCTTGAATAAAGTCATTTCCTAGAAAGGAAGCCCTGTCTTCCTACCAAGGAAGGAATAAAACCATGTATTCTGTATTTTGCTTCTACAGGAGGGGTGAATTGGCAATATTAATTAAGCTCCTACTAGGAACTGTTTTGAGAAAGCAAGATCAAAGATCCAGATACAACCTGCATCTGCAGTCTAGTAAAATATTCATTCCAAAGATGATTATTCATCAGAAAGTGAATGTTCACTGATTTCTAATCATATATGAAATTAAATATGCATAAATTGGGAAGATTTTCATTAAAATGCTTGAAACAGAAACATTTTAATAATCTTAAAGTTAAACATAATTTTTCTAGATTGTTTTGTTCCTAAATCATTTAGCTTTGCCACACATAGCAAGGTTCAAGACTACCCAAAGGTAACCAAAAATATATTTTCAAAATAAGTAAATGAATATATATAAAGGTATATATGTGTGTAAACACACACATACCACAAACCAAGAAAATTTACATATGAGAATTCAAACTGAATGTCATGCTCAGGTACTTTGTAATTCAGAAAGTGCTGGTAAACTTACTTATAAGTAAGCTAACAAAACATACCTTCGAAGGCAGTATACTTTGGATCAAATTCAATGATGCCCTCTGCATTATCATTTTTCATTATTACAATTTGAACAATGGAGATGTTCCCTATTTCAGGAGGTTGATCTATTTGAAGTCCATTTTCTCGGATGGTAAAATCATACCCTCTTGCAAAGTCATACAAAACAAAACAAAATAAAATACAACAAAGAAAAGAAATACATAATTGCTTAGCATGATTTGAAAGGTTCTCTTAGCTCCTGTAACTTAGTTCTATTAAGTATTTAATACTTTTAAAGATTCCCAACACTAACTTTTTTTTTTTCCCCAAAATGATGTTTTGAAACAGATTTCTGTGCTGCTCTTAATTATCTGGACCTGCATGAAACCAAAACTAATATAAAGTTACTAAACTTGAACAATGGGATAGGAAATTGGGAAGAAGCTACCATAAAAGGAGCTTTTGGGGATGACAACTGAACAAATACCTTAGTTATGGGCCTAGTGCACTCAGAGATAGTAAATTAGCTGGGCTGTAGACTTACAGTGATAGGTTAAGAGGGTTACTTTAAGGAAGTAGCGAGTGTCATGCCACCATAATTTCAAGCTAAATCATCAAGATTCAAGAAAATATTTTAATTTATGTGGAAACCAATTATAATCAATGCCTCTATTCTTTAGTATAGATGGTAGTTTACATTTGTAATGACATATTTATGCACAAGCAGTTTTTGTAGATGAATATTATTCCCATCATCAAACAAAACTTTTGACTTTCAGGGCTTTAAATGACTTTTAATTCCTGACGCTAAAAAAATGGCACTTCCTTCAATTTCCAAATTATATTGACCTGGTATTTATATCCCACCTAGTGTTGAAAAGTAGAAAGCTGGTTAATTATGTATAAGACAAAATTATAAAGTTGAGGATCGATATATTAAATAATGAGAGTAACTGTTATCAGTAGTCTGAGATGGGCTGTAGATTAGCTAGTCACTGTAAGTGAACACCAGAGTGGTAAGTTTTCTAGCAACTAAGCAAAAAGGGAAATGCATTGAGTTATACTACTTTCCTCTGCAGATCAAAAGAAGCCTAGAAATTTATCTAGAAGGAAAAATTTCTTTTCCTAGAATTAAACTTGTATAGAAACTTTTTTTTAAAAGTAGCAAAGAGGTAAAATCTCCAAGCACTAGTCAATAACACATATATGATCTCCCATTTAATGAGCTACTTTTACCAAATTGCACTTATTTAATTAAAATAGTCAGTGACTAGTCCAAATATTAACATATTTACTATAAGTGCAAATTCATTCCCATCACCAGATACAGGGGTATTTTTGAGAAATTTAAAATTTGAAGTGTATGTGAGCCCACAATATTCTTTTCCCCCAGACAGGATGATATACACACTATCTAAGTCACTGAGTGAAATATTTTAGTTTTAAAAAGTTTTAAAGCATGATATTTATAATACGAATGCAAAAATATTTTCATGCACCAGAAAAATTTCTTTAAGACTTCTATAAATGCAAACTTTATTCTAGTTGAAGTCCCACCTATCTGCTATCTGTGCAGAGGTACCTGTACAGCTGCTCCACCTGTGGGTATTTAAGCATGCTAAATGTGTTTTCCACCTCATCAAATCTGCCTCACTAAATCAGGGACTAAAAGGGACTCATTATGGTTAATTCCTGATCTTCACTGAAAACATGGTGCACATTGATGGCCAAATATCTTTGACTCAACTTTTTCCCCCACTTGAAAACTGCTATTGGGCAAGTATCCACCTTATTCACCCAGAGAAGACAATACATACAGCCTTCAGATATATCAAGGAAAGGAATCCTTTGTTCCAGCCCTTTCACAGGCGTAGAAATAAGGAGAAGCAAATTCTGCCATGCCAGCTAACCTTTGACTGGGAGAACAGTTAGGCTACTGCCTCACCGAATTATTAGAAACCCATATCATGTCCCCTGGTGGCCCAGAGTGAATCCACACAACAAAAACATGCTTTCACCTTTCAGGAGGAAAACTTACATTTTAGAAAACTGCAAAATATAAGTCTTTGTCAAAATTTCCCTTCTATGCCCTGTCTTAATGTCACCCACATCGGGAGAAAAGCAGGGAAAGAACTTTTACAGCTTGGTATTAATCTCTGCACAATGTAGAGCGCTCGCTCGCGCGCGCTCTCTCTCTCTCTCTCATTTTCTTTTTCCTAATTTCCTTTTTTCCTTTACCTTCCCTGGAGTTCCACCTTGGTAATTGTGACAGAAAATTCCTCAGGGCCTTCAGGATGGTCGTCATTAAGGATTTCAACATGCAGACTCTTCCCCATCTCCCCTGCTTCAAAGAGGAGCTCCCCGGCTGCAGAGACAAAATCCAAGCCTGCTTCCGCTGTTCCGCTCACAGTCTCATACCACAGTCTCACCAGGCCAAAATAGCCACCAGAACGGATGATTGTGATGTTAACCTATGCGAAAAGCATCTTCTTATTTGATCTTGAACTCTTGGCTTCAAGCAATCCTCCTGCCTCAGCCTCCCAAAATGCTGCATTATAGGCATGAGCCACCACACCCAGCCAACGTTTTCTCATTTGATTTAGATGTTTAATCTATCAGACTATATTGTGTCTAATTAAAGATTCTATTTACCAGGAAGGATTATGTTCAAATGATATGTAAGTTTAAAAATTATATAGACTATATGTTAAAATAATGATGTTAGAAGCAAATTAAATCAGTTTGTGAAAAGCTGGAGTAGAATCAAGGAAACATTTTAAAGGTCACTCATAATGTCAAAAACAAAAAATGATACTAAAATTTTAAGTATTTCACACTATACCCTCTGTACTTCTTCTGCCACTCGAATTTGCTCATGTGCAAAGGCAAATTGGCCATAGGGAGAATCACTGGCCACCATCGTGATGTTGGCACTGCTGGACTCACTCAGAACCCCTCCCTCGCTGACTGCAGTCAGCTCAAATGCGTAGAAACACTTTTCCTCAGGGATATCATCATTCAAAGCCTAGAAAAAGACAAAAAGAGCCATTAATAGTAGAATCTGTAAAATTTAAAGAAAAACAGCCATCACCTAAACAACGACAACAAACTCAGTAATATTAACCTCCACCCCACCCCTACCCTCCCCCACCCCCCAGATGCACACACAGCAAGGGGCGTAATAGAAACCAGCTAACATCCATACCTGTATTACTACAATGGCTGCAGACTGTCCATCTCGCATTGTCAGTTTCCCTGATGTTTCAGCAAATTCCCCCACAGAAGGAGGGAATATGCCCCAGAACACCGTGATCTCCCCCAGAATCCCTGGGCCACGAACAAGGCTACAACAACACAAATATACATTCAATACATTTTCACTGAAGGTACTTTTCCTAAACATTTGCTGTGTCTTTCCACAATAACCATTTATTTTTCATTATTTTCATTTATTTCAAGGACATTATGCTTTTAAATGACCTCATCTACCAACTATAAACCGAAAGAAAGTCCTAAAACCCTAAGATAGTAACCTGAAGTACTGAGCTAGTGTAAATCTACCTTGGTAAGAATACTGGCAAAACTGATCACTAAAAGCATAAGGTTTAAAGGAATAAAAATAAGTATTTATAGATTTTTCACTTAACACATCAGGTACAAAGTATAAATAGCCTAACAAAGTTCCTTAAAGAACAGAAAACAGGCCGGGCGCGGTGGCTCAAGCCTGTAATCCTAACACTCTGGGAGGCCGAGGCGGGCGGATTGCTCGAGGTCAGGAGTTCGAAACCAGCCTGAGCAAGAGCAAGACCCCGTCTCTACTATAAATAGAAAGAAATTAATTGGCCAAATAATATATATATATATATAAAATTAGCCGGGCGTGGTGGCGCATGCCTGTAGTCCCAGCTACTCGGGAGGCTGAGGCAGAAGGATTGCTTGAGCCTAGGAGTTTGAGGTTGCTGTGAGCTAGGCTGACGCCACGGCACTCACTCTAGCCTGTGCAACAAAGTGAGACTCTGTCTCAAAAAAAAAAAAAAAAGAACAGAAAACATTTCATGCATGCACATGCTAATGGAAAAGGATAAAGTATTACTTTTGCATAAAGGATAAAGTATTCAGTCAAATCCAGCTACTTTATTGACAGCTGCTTCCCATTCCTCATAAAATTTGGGAAAAACAGATTTGTCTATGATCATACTAATTTAGTTATATGATGGACCCTGATTTGGGGACACTTAGAAGCAAAATGTTTGACCTTGATGATTTTCTATGGAACGATTTTATAGCTAAGGCACATGAGCTTGCAGAGATGAAGTAACTCCCTCAAATCAACATGTTTAGTGACAAAACAGGGTTGAAAACACGGATCTTTTGATCTTAACCCCCTGTGCTTTCCTTGGCACAGGTTGTGCAAATCACCCAAGAATCAGAAACCTCCTCATCATCTAACTTCAAGATAGGTAGAGATTTTCAATTGCTATGCTCCACCAGGATGCTACCAGTACATAAAATGATAATGCCTGCAGGCTATGTATGTATTACAACGAATGCTGTATTTAAGACTAATTATTTAAATAAAACTTCATAACCCCCACATAGGCAAAGGAAAATCATGAAGCCCTTACCTGATGATAGCAGTACCATTATATTTTGCTGAGGGCTCCCCAATGAGGACATGCCTAGATGATGGGGCTATTCCAACTTCTCCTGACGCTCCCTTGTCTCCTCGAATGATTATTGATGCGCTACCTAAGGCAAAGATGATATACACCGCTTTGTAGCAAATACATGTAGGCACTTAGTATATGTCTGGCAACGTTCTATGTGCTTCACACATACTAACCCAGTTAATTCCCATGATAATCATGTAAGTTAGACACTAATATTCTTATTTTACCTAGGAGGACACTGAAGGACATTGAGGTGTTGAAGACATTGAGGCAAATAACTTGCCCAACATCACACTTTAACGAAAGGGGCAGGAGAAAGTGGGGAATATTTTCACTACCACTCCCATGTTTAGCAGTGGTCCTCTACCATGTGCATTAATTTGCTGCTACAGTAACCATTTTGCAGCTCACAGCAATTGGCTATGAGGCTCTGTCACCTGGCTATGTGGCAAAAGCAAGAATTCTTGGGGGCACTTTATTATTTTTAATTTGCTGACTACCATTTGAATATAATTACTTATAAAACTGTGTGGAATATTTCTAAAAATGGGAATTAAAAACTATATCAAGCAATTTGAGTATCCATATTATAATTTAAAAGTAACTTGAAGAGAAAATTGTTTCCAGAAGCACACATTAGGGTTTCATGAAGCAAAGTTTCATGATTAGTTTCATGAAACTAATCATGAACTAGATTACTGCACTCTCACTGTCTTTGGCAATGGATTAATGGAGCTGAGAGTGGTTTGTCATGTGCAAGTATGTCACAGTTAGACAGAAATATCAGAGTTGTTTATACTGATAAATGATTTACCCTGATCCGCTGATATATTCTCTGTGTGTCTACTTAGCCTATGTCACATCAACCCCGTCATTTTAACGTGACGTAGACAGCTGAGCTAACACAAGACTTGTGAAAGAATATGGTGCAATGATATGATTCCTTGACAGCCTTGTTGGAAAACAGATAACTAAGCAGAAAGAATAACTACTCTAAGTACATACAGTGATTCTGTCTACAATTTTGAGAATTTCCTTGGCCATGGAAACTGCTACTAGACACAGATTCTTGCATAGGATGGAGTTCTTGATGGCATAAAAAGAAATGTAACGACCACCAAGCTTTCATATCAAAGTTTCTGAACCATTTTTATGGTTATTATTGTTTATAGCACAATAAAAGTGTTTTAAAATTTTTACTTTTTTCTCTACAAACCCAAGAAATAAATCATCATATGGACCTTAAGCAAATGAGAATTATGATGCTTGTTTCTGAAATGAAAATATCTAAATAACTGCTTTCAGATGAAAATAGGCAAAGATAGGCTGTAATATCAAACATAATAATATGTTAAATTTTAAAATGTTTTTTAACAAAAGTAATATGTGATCATTGTAAATATTAATATGTTTAGAAAATATAGGTAATCAAAACCCATTATTAGCATTACATGTAAATAATTCCAAACTCATGTAAGACTTATAATGTCAAAAATGGGATTATATTGAGCATATTGTTGTGAGGCCTGTTATGTTAACATAACAATTATCCACACAATTAAATATTCCTAATTTTTAATGTAACTAAGGATTTTTCTGCTACATCATTTAGAATGGCTACATAGTATTCTGTCACTCTTAAACAATTTCCTACTGTTGGACCATTTAGAAAGCTTCTATATTTTATTTTATATTTTATAAACATTGCTACAGTGGCCGGGCATGGTGGCTCACGCCTGTAATCCTAGCACTTTGGGAGGGCCGAGGCAGGCGGATTGCTCAAGGCAGGAGTTCGAAACCAGCCTGAGCGAGACCGTCTCTACCAAAAATAGAAATAAATTAATTGACCAACTAAAAATATATATACAAAAAATTAGCCGGGCATGGTGGCGCATGCCTGTAGTCCCAGCTACTCGGGAGGCTGAGGCAGTAGGATCGCTGAGCCCCAGAGATTGAGGTTGCTGTGAGCCAGGCTGATGCCACGGCACTCACTCTAGCCTGGGCAACAAAGCGAGACTCTGTCTCAAAAAAAAAAAAAAAAAAAACATTGCTACAGTGAACATCTCTGTTTTAAAAAAATCACACAGCTAAGCAGTAGGGAATCTTTGACCTATGACCTTACCACTATTGGGTATTAAAATTTTAATTTTAAAGATGTATTGCCTTTAACACAGGAAGAAAATGGTATCTTTATGGTTTAGCAAACATTTTAGGAATGATATTAATAAATCTTAGCATTGCCTTTCTTTGTAACTATTGATTACATTTTGTAACTATTGGTTACATTTTGGTGAGGACCTACTTTTTAAATTCCCAAAATGTTAATTTTTCTTACCTTTTACTGGAGATATTTCTACCTCATCAATTGATATCAGCTGAATGGTGAAACGCCTGTCCTCCTCCAATAGGGTGTCTTGAAGTGCATGCAATACAATGGTCTTCTGGGATTCAGTCTACATCAAATGAGAGGAATAATACATATTCCAGATTGGCCAAAGTCAAATTTTGAATGCGCTCATCAGCAGAATAATGTATTTTATACATTTATATTGCTTTTTTACTACTGTATGTAAGATAGCATTTCATATCATATGATCTCCATTTCTCAAAGAAATCTATAACCAATAATGGGGGAAAATGGGTGATTACAGGTGGAAATTCCCAGTTAATGTTTACAAAAGATAGTAATAAATGTTCTTGGAAAAAAAGGTGATGGGAAAGTTTCACAGGAGAATAAATTCAGAAAATTTCTTCTATTAGAGATTCAAAATGTACCTAAATATATTAAAGCTTCTAAAAAAATTCCTTCACAATAAGAGCCTACTTAGTTCAATCAAGGTTTTACAAAATATATTTCAATATGAAATATTTTTCCTTTAAAATTTAGAACAATTATTAGTATTCTTTGAATAGCACTTCAGAGTATCAGTTTAGAAAATGTCACTACAGGCTATCTCAGAAAAACAGAATTATAAAGTTGCTTCTTAGTTTTTTGAAATTCAAACCCCTTAAGTTTTTAGTCACACAGTGTAGGAAAGGAGTTGAGTTTCCTTGTTGTAAGTTGAGGTAGCAACCTGCTATTTCATTCGAATCTTTCTAAAGGATAGCTATTGTATAAAGCACTTTTTAAGTGACAGGGTGTTTGTTAGTCTCTTCACAAACACCATTTCATGTAATCTTCAAAGCCTTTGCTCAGGTCAAGCAATATTATCCTCATTTCCCAATTAGGAAACCAAATGTGAGAGAAATTAAATAATTTTCCTAAAATCACACAGCATGAAATGGCAGAGTGAAGATGTGAACTAAGGTTTAGCTAGCTAGAAAATCTATATCCTTTTTACTTTTCAGTGGCTACTTCCATCACCAGGGAAACATTACTGTAAAGAAAGTAAAGTAGATAAAAAATGATGCAAATATAGGTGACAGAAGTCTGCAACAGTGTATAAACACTCCAGAAAGGGGAGCTAGACAGAATGGTTCAGTAAGCAAGAAATGTGAATCCCAGAAAGAGAGATAAGAAATGTCAGAACTATAAAAACCATAGTGAAACAGGATGTTTATAAAGAAATACAGATAGTATCAAATACTGAGGGGAATCTTTGCAATGGAGAATATGTAACCAATTTTTTAAAACAGTGGATTTAGGCTTCTATGAAAAATAAATGTTTAAGATAAATTGTAGTCCTTGCCTGCGAGAGTGGCCACTGCGTTGGTGCTCGGGGCTTTGGACTCTGGCTAGCCAGAAATAAACCTCCTCTTGTGTGATTGCACCCTCAATGTCTCTGCTTTTCTGTCCGGTGGCTGTGGAAGGTCGGTCCTCCTACAACTTTGGGGGCTCGTCCGGATTTGCCTTCCCAAGACTACCGGATAGAATTCAGGACTGAGGAGGAGTGTGAAAATCCACCCGAGACTAGCCGAGTGGTGTGTTGGGCAAGGGATGCGGAATCCCCTTGCAGGACCCGATCAGGATGCTGGCACAGGACCTAGACGGACTTGCTGGTGGACCGCCGGTCGGAGCCAGGCAGAGACGTCCTCTGGCCCGTTGGGACTCCGGAGCTGACTTGTAGCCTAGGCTCGGTCAGGGAGACTGGAGCTGACCTTGTAGCCAAGGGCTCGTCACGTCCTCTGGCTCTGTTGGGACTCCGGAGCTGACTATGTAGCCAAGGGCTCGGTCAGGAGAGACCGGGAGTAGGTCCAGACCAGGTTAGGTTGTCTGTTTATCTCACTGTCTACTTGTCTGTTGTCTGCTTTGTTGTCGCCGGCTTTCTGTGTGTGTGTGTGAGTGAGTGTGACATCTCTCGTTGGCTTGTTGGAGTCTCTGGATTCTATGGTTTCAGCCCGAGAACCCATCAGGGTTGCATGGGTTTTCGGGCTGGGGCCATGGAATCAGGAGACCCATGAAAAGATCCACGGAGGCGACTAGAACCTCCAGGTGAGTATTCCCCTGCATGGGCTGGCAGCGCACAGTGTATCTCCTGCCGCCCGTGCCAGGAGTGGCTAGTGCGGGCGGGGCACGACCAGTACCTCCATAGGGAGTGTGAAAGGCTAGGGATTCAGATCCTTGTTCCCAGTGCCCCAACTGCAGAATATCGGTTTGCACATCTGCCTATTATCGACTAGCCATGGCACAGGCTCTAACAACGCCGTTGTCTATCCTGGTGAGCCATTTTAAGGATATCAGGGCAAGGGCACACAACTTGTCCCTGGAGGTCAAGAAGGGAAAGTTTGTTACCCTTTGTGAGGCCGAGTGGCCCACGTTTGGAGTGGGGTGGCCCAGGGAGGGCTCGTTTGATGCCTCCTTGTTCGAAAAGGTAAAAGGGGTGGTATTTGGCCACCACGGCCACCCTGATCAGATCCCCTATATTGTGGTCTGGCAAGACTTGGTTCTAGACCTGCCACCCTGGCTGAAGGCCTTCCTACCTGCCCCGAGGGGAAAGGCGGAAGTTCTGGCAGTTAAAGAGGTCAGAAAGGAGAGGGCACGCAGTCCGCGGTCCGTTGGGATGCCAGTGTTGCCGGACTCCAATCTCGAGAATCTGAGAGACCTAATTAATCTTTTAGACTCTGTTCTTTTTACTCATCAGCCCACCTGAGATGATTGCCAGCAGTTGCTTAAGGTGGCTCTTCACAACGGAGGAAAGAGAAAGAATTCAGGGGGAGGCACGGAAGCTGCTTCCGGGGGAGAACGGCAGACCTACCACAAACCCGCGAACCATCAACCGAACTTTTCCCCTTGAACAGCCGCTTTGGGACTACAATGAGGCTGAAGGTAGGGAGCGTCTCCGGGTCTACCGCCAGACTCTGATGGCCGGTCTCCGTATGGCAGTGCGAAAGCCGACCAATTTGGCCAAGGTAGGAGATGTTCGTCCGGGGCCGGAGGCGAGCCCGGCAGCATACTTAGAGAGGATCATAGAGGCCTTCTGGCAGTACACCCCCATAGATTCCACAATGGAGGAGAATAAGCCGCTGTTTTGATGGCGTATGTCAATCAGCCGGCCCCTGACATTAGGCGCAAGGTGCAGAGAATAGATAGATTAGGCGAGAAGACTCTGCAGGACCTGTTAGAAGTGGCAGAGAAGGTCTATAACAGTAGAGAGACGCCAGAAGAGAGGTTAGAGAGGATCAGGATAGAAGATAGGAAATTCCAAGCTGGGGAAGCACGGAAAGTAAACGGAGAGATGGCTAAAATCCTGCTAGCCACCACAAGAGGGGGGCAGATAGGGTCAGAGGATAGGGAAAGGCCCCGGCGGGAGAAGCTAGGAAGGATCAATGTGCCAATTGCAAGGAGCATGGGCACTGGGCCCGAGAGTGCCCCAAAAAGAAAGGGAGGGCGAAGACTTGGAGGTCCTGAAAAAGTCATGGTTGCAGGACAGGTGACAGACGAATAGGGAAGACGGGGTTCTGTCACCCTCCCCGAACCTAGGGTAACTTTGCAAGTGGAGGGGAACCTAGTCAGCTTCCTCATAGATACAGGAGCAGAACATTCGGTACTAATGGAAGACACAGAAAAATTGTCCAGTAAGACCAGTTGGGTGCAGGGGGCAACAGGAGCCAAACTATATCGGTGGACCACATGGCGGAGATTGGATTTGGGTTCAGGAAAAACTCGCCTACCCTGTTCAACGAGGCCCTCCATGATGACCTTGGGTTTGCAGAAAAGGCTCCACCTCTGTATGAAGGGTGTAAGGCGGGGTGAGCATGGGAGTGGACTGTGCAAATGGAAGACGCTTTTCAGGCCCTGAGGGCAGCCATGCTGGAATCCCTGGCCCTAGCCCTCCCTGATCCTACAAAAGAGTTTCACCTGTTCATAGATGAGAAGGGGGGAATAGCCAAGGGGGTACTCACGCAGGCCCTGGGACCCTGGAAGAGACCAGTGGCGTACTTGTCAAGAAAACTAGATCCGGTGGCAGCGGGGTGGCCAGCGTGCTTGCAAATCATCGCAGCCATGGCCCTGTTGGTCAAAGACGCTGATAAGCTCACCCTAGGGCAGCAGCTGCAGATCACCCCTGCAGCCATAGAGGGGGTTCTGAAGCAGCCACCGGGACGGTGGATCACAAATGCAAGGCTGACTGGTTACCAAGGACTTTTGCTAGACGCACCCCGCATCGAGTTCCAGACCCCTGCTGCCTTGAATCCGGCTACGCTTCTGCCAACCCCCGATGCAGCCGCACCTGAACATGATTGCCTTGAGATCCTAGCTGAGACCCAGACGACCCGTAGATACTTGAAGGATCGCCCCCTTCCAGGTAGCGACCTGACCTGGTTCACGGACGGAAGCAGTTTCATCCGGGATAGATGACCAAGGTAAACTTATCTGGGCAGCACGCCTCCGCAAGGGACATCTGCTCAGAAGGCAAACTAATAGCGCTGACGGAGGCTCTTAGCCGGCCCGAGGAAAAAGGCTGACGGTGTACACTGACAGCCGCTTTGCCTTTGGACTGTGCACATACAAAGGCCCTCTACACATACAAAGGCCCTCTTCATCACGGCAGAGGGAAAGGAAATTAAGCACATGCCTGAAATACTCCACTACTGGAGGCTGTTTTGCTGCCAAAGGCAGTGGCGGTAGTCCATACCCGGACACCAGAGCAGGGATTCCGTGGAAGCATGGGCAATCAGAGAGCGACGCTGAAGCTAAGAAGGCTGCAGAAGACACTCCGCAGCCAAACATCCTGCACCTTAGCCTGCCACCCCCGGGCATGGGACAGTTGCCTCCTCTGCCGGACTATTCCAGTGTAGATGAGTCTGGGCCTCAGAGCAGCTACGTGTAAGCAAAAGTGAAGATGGCTGGTTGCGGGACGAAGGGCATCGCCTAATAGTGCCAGAACTCTTAGGACGCCACCTGTTAGAACACCTACATCAGACCACACATCTAGGGAAGAGAAAGATGCTGCAACTGCTGGACACTGCTCAACTAAGGTTCAGGTCACAAGGACGGGTTCCAGATGACATCTTC